CACAATAATGAGTTAACTCAAAACACACAAACATACATGTAAGCTCCACGCAAATTAACACACCGCACCTGAAATTCCAGCAACAGGGCGGACTGCCACCCGTCGATGATGCGCGGGGCGTTGCCGGTGCCCATGTCGACGGCGATGGGCCTCTCTGGAGCCCGGGGTCCTTGGGCTGCTGCGCGTAGTGGATGGAAGGGGAGCTCTTGGAGCTCGCGAGGCAGCTCCATAGAGCCTAAGGCTCCCACATCAAGCGCATACGCCGCTGCGACGGCCTTGTTGGTGTCCGACATGTTGCGGAACTTGCAAATGTGCTTGGGCCACCGCTGAGTGCGGAACGGAGTGATGGTCGAAGTGTTGAAGTCTAAGTTGAAGTTGATGACAAATGAAATCCCTCGACTTAGTGTCATCCTCGCAATAATGCCTACGAACCCGTTTGTGTGCCATTGAGACTTGGCTCTCGACAACTATGCTGGTGGGGCGCTCGTTCGTACGAAGGCCCGACACGTAGCTAGCATACTTGGCAGAACAGGGGTGTAGTACCGACTTTATTTAGTTATAATGGGGGGTGGTACATTTTTGGGTGAGTGCTTCCTGCAGCAGACGGCCCAAGTCAACAACTCAGGCACTCCAGTAAATTACTATCAACTTTTCACTTACCTACATATATTACGAAATTTATTTCTGCCTACGGATCAAAGTCATTGTCTGGATCGATGATGCCAACTTCCGTATCCAGAAGTCCTGCAGCCTGGAGCAATGCAAACACGTCTTCCCCCTCGTCGTCCTCTAGTAGAGAAGGCAGCTCACACTGCTGACCAATCGTGGGCTTGTCAATAATCCCTGCTTCACGGAACCCGTTGCAAATGGTAGGCGTTGTCATGTCATTCTACGTCTCGCTCATCCACCGAGCCATCAATACACGATCTGGGGCTCTCATATTGAACGGCTGACCAGGTACCCGGCGGCAAAGTTGCTCACGAATAGACTTGATCCCTATTCTACGTAGCCTATCCTTCAGCGGCTTCATCCACGCGATGTCCGCCGGCTGACAAGCGGACGTGCAGTTTGGCGGCACCTTCTCCAAAACCACATTTATGCTTTTTGCATATGAGGCGACTTCAGCGGTCCAATGTCCGCTGAAGTCGTCCCATAAAAGCAAAATTCATCGCGATTGCCGCGATTACCGAAATAGTGCCGCAAAAATACCATAGCCAGCTCCGAATTGAACCAGCCCTTGGCGTTGCAATGAATCGACATTCCGGTTGAGGTTTGTACGGGCTCCATCTCTTGCCACATTCCAACACTGAATCCGTTGCGCTCGCACTTATTTTCCAGCGCCATCGCAGGCAGTGTGGACGGGCTGCACTTGTAGACAAGCATCGGTGGGTACTTAGTGTCGTTCGAGTCTGCCAGCAACATGGCGGTCAACCGCTGCTTCTCCTTGCCACCACCACGCACCCAAACAGTTTTTTTGCCGCGCTTGTGAAGGGTCTTTTTGGGCAGGTACTCATAAAATACTGCTGTTTGATCAGCATTATAGACCTTCGAGACCCCCAACTCGGCCATTTTGCTCTTGATTCTGACTGCAAAGTCGGCTGCAATTTTTTTGCGTCGTCAGGCGCGACTTGACCTTGGCGAGTTCGGCACCTCAACGACAGGCGATGCCGCTTGCGAAACAGTTTTTGCCATGATGGACTAGCCGCAAATTTGTCCACGTGATATTCTTTTGCAATTTCCAAAGCTTGGAGCTGAAGCATGACACTTGTGACGGGAACACCTTCATTTCTTAGCTCATTTACCCATCTAGTACACGCAATAAAAAATAAAAATAATTTTAGCATAAACCAAAGAAATAATGAATGTGATGAAAGCAGCACACTTACTCTACCAGTTCTAACTCCGCTGCCATAGGTAGCGATGTTGCGACGCCAGATGATCGATTCTTCTTCTTAACGGCAGTCGTAGCCGTCTTACAGCCTTCTTCGATGATGGCGCGGTTCTGTTTCCACTGGTACACCTGGTTCTCCGACGTCTTCTGCTTGGCGACGTGGCTGAAGAAGCGCTGGAGCGTTGACTTGATGCCATGCGTCTCGTACCATTTGATCACCTCCAGCTTCTCGCTGTTGCTGACGGCGGAGCGGCGGTGCTTAGGCGGTTTTCGCCCGGGGCCTGTGATCCTCGTTCTGCCTTTCGGCATTTTGACTTGTGCGGGGGGAGGTGTGGCCGTAAATTACATGCGGTACTTCAATCACGACATCACGTTGGGGCAATCGCGCTGTACGAATTAAGAGCACTGATTGGCTCCCCATTATAACTAAAACCCCATTATAACTAAATAAGGTGGGTAATTAAATGTACACATACAAAACAGGGCGACCAGTACGACACATGAGCGTCTTATCCACGCTCGCAATCGACCACCGCCCCAGATTTGTTACGAGGTATTGCCGTTTGCAGATATTTTGGCCAACGCATGCTTATTATCTCGTTAATAATCTTGATTTTAATCCAGTCAGCTCTTAATTAAGACCTAGGTCTGATTTATATATATCGCCAGTACGGTCTAACATCCAAGCTTGAGGCTCTGTTTTCCCGACCAAAACGCTTTTCTGCGGCTTGGAAACGCAGAAATGCCATTCTAGACAGGCCAAACCGAGTTTCTGGGCCTAAAAGCGGCCTCCACCAAAGCACAAAGCTAAAGCAGCCCTCGCCTATTCGTGTCCACTCGTATTAAGAGACAGGCGTGGTCTATTTTAGAGGACAAAGTATTTGCAAGCGGCAATAACTGGTTATAATATAGAAAAGGGTACATGAGGTTACTGTAGAATAGGGTACACGAGGTTACGGTTTTTATCTACTTGAGCAGTCGGGCATCCTTGTTGACATCGGGGGGGGGGGGGGGCTCAGGCCAGCGACTGAAGTGCGTGTAGTCACCACAGATTGCCTCCACGACATCCCGCCCCACGTCGACCTCGAGAGCAGTTCCTTCAATGGGGCTCTCCTTCTGCTTGGCTGGATCGTTTTGCATATAAAACTCCGACTAAACAAGATTATTTCATAATTACGACCACGGAACAAAACTTTCCTGTATCTTAAACTCTCCAAAACTATTACTATTGTTTTAAAACCTTTTTGCTTAAGAAATATATTCTAATTCTGTGAAATCTTTAATCAGGTGTGTTTTTAAAATAACTAAATTCTAGATATAACAAAGGGAACCACCCTACTGTAATGTCAGCATAATCAAAACTTAAGAAAGGGCAGGAGATTCTTTGTTATCCTTTTGTAGCAAAAATGTATATGATATACTTTGCTGAATTTTACGAATGGACTTTAATAGCTTATTCGCTAACAAACATAAATTTATGTTGGTATTAAATGCTACTCCTTACTTTTTACGGTTAAAAAAGAAAATACACAGTGCAAAATTTGAATAAAACATAAAGAATTGCTTACTTGACATATATAAGATAATCCCCTATATTCGATAAATTGGCAATTTTGATAAATTGGCGGTTTGTTACAGTATTGGGATGCTTCTGCATTTAGTTTGAAATCCAAGTAGTAAAACGTGTACCATTGTGATTATATTTGGAATACATAATACTAAAGAGTGACTAAACTCATAAACGATTGATTCTTACAAAATTCGTGTTTAAAAACTATTTAGAGTTACCTTATAGGATGTTGTAAATAGGTGCACAGATCGAGTTTGGTAAAACCAAATCTACCGTAGGTAACAAGAAAATACCGCCAAAAATGGGAGTTGTCGTCGATGTTTCTTACAAAAGTATCGGCCTGTGGTGACAAAAGTAGATATTTTCATGACAATCAAAAGCTCCATTTGTATGAGAAAGCCCACGAAATACTCTAGATATTTACTATATTTCTGTGATTGTGGATAACACATACAAAATATAGGTATACACCGTAGACAATTCATGAAATTAGCAAAAACTTAATGACCAAGAATCATTTCCAGCGCAGAGAAATGAAAATATTGCATTTTCGTGAGCAGCCAATGATAGATTTTTTGTCGTTCTTTGCGAGTGTGTTTTTGCCATCTACAGTACGATGTACTAATTGTTTGTTTTTTGTACAAATGGTGGTATGACAAACATGTTTTTATGACTGTTTTGAACGGTCGTATTTTAAAATATGTCACCGTGAAAAACGGGCATTTATGTGTAATAGTTACTTTTAAGTTACATTTAAAAAAGAACTTGTACACCATTTCAAGGTCAAATCTACAATCAAAATAAGAAAACTCTACGATTACGTGACTCTTAACATAAAAACCTGTATCAACCCATAAAATATTAGTGATGTCGATTTGGACACTCTACGCGCCACTATCCGTTATTGTTGGTAGTTGAAGTCGATGGCCAACGCATTTGAGTGCATCAGTGTCTCGCAGTGGCGGATCAATGCGGGTAGCGCAACGTGCGGTGAACTGCTGCAGCAACATCATCTGATGGATGCATCTTGGTGAGCTTTACTTGTGATCACTCGTCACGCATCCCGAGAATTCAGCACACACATAACCAAAGACAAAGTTATCACGGTAGATCTGATTCCTCACTTCGGCATTCACGTCCGTCCAATCATGCACAGTCAAACGGCAAGCGCAGGCCCTCCGAAAATACAGTTGCAGTAGCATTATTAGCTGTTTCGACAATAAATTATTCCGCGGAGATCCCGAGGTCAGCAAAATAAATTATTCAGTATATTGCAAAAAATTGCAACACAAGATGGTAACCTGTATTACGTAGTTAAGGTTCTACAAACTTTTAAGTTTCTTAAAAGAATTCACAACCTTGCGTTCTAACCAGTGTTTTGTGTAGCGGAGACTAAGAAAACGCAACAAATACAAATTACAAACGTACTTAAGGTATTTGAAAAATGTTTTTTTACGACCGAAAAATACTTCGTAAAAAGTAGAGCCGTAAGTTATTCCATTTTTTTATCGATCGCGAAAAATAAATTATTCCGTACAAATATTTCCGTATATTTGCAGTACAATCTTTTATTCGGAGGGCCTGGACAAGCGGGCAAAGTGGATATATGGAGAGCACGTCTGCCTATCTGGTTTCGTTCGCGTTGTCCAAAACAGGCTGGGCCCCCGGTGTGGGGGCTACCCTAAGACGACTCGTCCACGTTGCTTCTTCAACCCCGTCCAGCTCGTGGTTAAATGAAGCGCTGGGGGTGCGGGTCATACGTGTACTGTACTTCGTCCCATGGGGCTGAGTACTGTAGGCGGCCAGTGTTCGGGCCTGTTGCCCCCACGCAAGTCGCACTTGTTGACAATTGTAGCGACACCTCGACCGACTCTAAAATGCTCTCTCTGTTGCATGACACTCAGTGATTCGAGGCCAGATGAGCCGCAGTCGCAATGTTCATATTCGCGCACATAGCGACCGTCATGCTTGTCAACGCGTTCAATTCATCGCGTAGATTCCTAACCCATTTGGCGCATTTGGCTCTCCAAATTGGAGATTCCATGTACATGTAGTGACGGTACCTCGCTGTAGGAGACGAGCTCCTCCGTGCATGCGGATTCAATCGGCACCTTTCGATTAGACAAGAGCCCGCGCTAGGCTCTCGCGGGTCTGACAAGGGGACAGCCGGCCTTTACGAACACACCGCGCGGCTGGCGCTGTAACTGCAGCGTGAAACGCGCCGTTGGACTCGAGGCCGACGAACTCGTCGTCGTCACCCCATGGGCATAAGGTGCCCCAAGCTGCGGCTGCGGGCGCCGGGGGCACTGGCAGATGTAGGCGCCGCAGGTGGGGGAGGAGCGTGGCAAGCAATGCTGGTCAAGTTGCCGGAAGATCGTTGTGAGTAATGCTCATGTCACCTACATCTTGGTAAGGGAGGACTCGCGAGAAGCTGGCTGCCACTTGCCGCCGCGTTTGCTCCTTGCAGGGCGGCACGACAGGCTGAGGGGGCCACGCTGCTTGGCGGCCGGAACCACAAAGACCGAAGCAAGGCGCAACGCCGGCCGCGGCAAGCGCCACGCCGCCACGCACGAGGGCGAGCAAGGCCGTCATGGAGTCGGTTATGCCGCGCGCCGGTATCAGTTACCCCGCGCGGCGGGGATTGGGTGAAATGCGCTGCGAATCCTCGCGCGATTGGCCAATTTTGCCATCTGGCCGCTCCCGAAGTTTCGGAAAATTCCTCGGCATACAAATGCAAGTCAAACGCTGCTGCACAACCCGACGACGACGGGCTCCCCCCTCTCCCCTCGGGCTGGCTCTTCGCCGCCTTTGCAGCCGCAGCGCCATTCCCTCTTTTGAGACCAACCCGTCAGTCAAGCTCCAGAAAGACCATGCAGTCGGCGGCGTACATCGCGGCCATCGCGGCCATGCTCGCGGCCGTCAAGGCCGAGTCCGGCTCGGGCCAGCCCGGCTACTGCAAGAACGACGAGTCGTGCGAGGACGGCTACCAGTGTATCTCCGTGCAGACGACGCGCTCGGGGATCGAAGACGTCAAGGTATTACGGAGTTTTTGAGCTGTTTGGGAGTGTAAATTGGCGCTGACGAAGTCTCTGATGTCTGCAGCAATGCCTTCCGTACGCCTCGGAGGGTGACGTGTGCTCCGGCACGTTCCCCGGCCTGTGCCCGTCGTTCTCGACGTGGAACACGGCCTTCCAGTCGATCAGCAGCGTGTGCGCGGCCCAGCTGCCCTCGGGCACGGACCAGTGCCTCAACAGCTCGCACTCGGGCTCGGACATGACCGGCTACGTGTCGTGCGTGGACATCACCGAGGGCTCGGGCTCGACGGCCGAGACCGTGGGCGTCATCTACGGCTGCGTCGACTTCGACGGTACCAACCTTCTCTTCGACGAGGACTCGGACAACTGGGACCTGTCGGAGCAGATGAACTACACCGCCGTCATCAACGAGGGCTGCGTGAACCCCAACAACGCCGAGGACTCGGATGTCGTGTGCTCGGGCCGCGGCACGTGCACCCCGTACACGGCCGGCCAGATGGACTACTTCTGCGAGTGCAACGTCGGCTACAACGGCACGTACTGCCAGAAGGTCGTGTCCAACAAGTGCACGCTCGAGTCGCAGTGCCAGGCCGGCACGTGCAACCTTAAGACCCAGGAGTGCGAGTGTGACCAGGGCACCACCGGTGACCAGTGCGCCTACTGCGACCCCGACTCGTCCAAGGCCTGCAACGGCCACGGCACGTGCGTTGCCGCTTCCAGCGGCTCGGGATCGTCCACGACCTCGGGCTCCACCACGGGCTCCACGGCCACGGCTGGCACGGTTGAGGCTGCTGGCTCGGACAGCTCGTCTGCTCGCTTCCTGATGGAGACTGTCGGCATGGCCTCGACCTCGAGCTCTGGCGACGGCAACGTGTGCAAGTGCGAGAGCGGCTACGCCGGCGACCAGTGCACGCGCAAGGTGGACTCGAGCTCCAGCGGCGACGGCAAGAAGAAGAAATCGAGCGGCTCGTCCTCGAGCGACGCCTCCTCGATGGCCACCTCCATCGCCCTCGTGGCCTCGGCCTTCGTGGTTGCTCTCCTGAACTAGACGGATTGTTCCCCCGCTGCCTCAGCAGAAAGGTGAAGCAGGGCGCTAGCTGGCAACTCGGTCATAAGGATTGCTGGCCACGCACTGCGCGTTGACTGTGTGTTTTGATATGAGGAACGCCGCGTCATTTCTCCTTAATGCATTTTTGCTTTTTCTTATAAACGCTATTTTCATTGTTTCTTCCGGTTTCTTCGTTCGCTTTGATGCGATGGAAGTAGCTCGGACTCCGAGCTACTTCCATCGAGCCTCGGAGTTCCGAAGCCTGAGTGCTCGTTGGGTGTCGCTGAACATGGTGGTTTTCAAGAACTAACAGTTAGGTCTCTTCTAAGTGAAGCCGGACCCACTAAAGAGTCTTTAGTGGGTCCGGCTTTAGTAAAGACAGAGGTCAGCATCGTGTATTGCTGCCACCTTTGTCGCTGGTCCATGGTCATAAACACCCGCAAATGAAGCAGCGCGAGTAATTCGGCCACAGCAACTTGCCCTCCGCCGGCTGGATATCGAGGTACTGTATCAAATCAGGCTTGACTTGCTCTCAGTAAGGGCCTATTTTGTGTTGCGCCACACACATGGGTGAATTCTCCTGAGGCGAGTCACAATTCGAACTCACGCTTCGGTCGACTAACTGTACCCCCCCACGCGACGCAGGCATGAGCCACTACAGCCGCTCGTCCCTGAGCCACCGCTCGTCCGTCAGCAGCAGCGTGGCGGGGGCGCCCACGGCGCTGCGCAACGACGCCATCCTGTACCTGACGATCCTGTCGGCGCGCGACCTGAAGAACGTGCAGCTGGTGGGCGAGCAGGACCCGTACTGCAGCGTGTACCTGACCACGGGCGGGAAGGAGCAGGAGAAGGCGCCGTTCAAGACCGACACGCACGACAATGGAGGTGGGTACACTGCAGACGTGATTCGAGGTCGTTGTAAGGAGTGACGGTGCTCACTGCTGCTGGGGAGCGCAGGCACGCAGCCCATGTGGAACGCCAAGGGCCATATTCTGATCCCCGACATCTCGTCGGACGTCGTGCGCTTCCGCGTGAAGAACAACAACTGGGGAAAGAAGTGAGTGCAGTAGGATGCGGATTGCAATGATGCAATGCAATGCAGTGAGGCAATGCTGGGGGTGCCGTCGGTGCGGAGACTTATGATGGCTCGATCACTTGTGACACGTGTGCAGTACTGTCATCGGAGAGATCGCGCTGGCGATGCGCGACTTATCCCGCGGACGATCCATGGAGAAGGAGTTTGCGCTGACCCCCAAGGGATTTTTGAAGGTGCTGATGTATCTTTCGCTTGGCCACGGTGCGTTGAGTGGATAAGCTGTGGAATGAGGTTCAAGGCTGATTTGACACTATTGCTTGTTCAGAGAACCCGACGTCGCAGCCTCGAGCAAAGTTTGGCGAGTACCCGCAGCACTTCATCCCGGGAAAGACCAAGATTTACCTGGGTCTCATCTCCGGCAGCAAGCTGCGTGACATTCAGTCGTTCGGCACGCAGGACCCGTACTGCGAGGTGTACCTCGGACGAAGTCGCACACCGTCGGCGAAGGACCTGGTGTATAGGACGAAAACCCATGATAACGGAGGTAAGGCGGCAGTGCTAATTAGTCAGCGTCGGGCTATCTATCGTTGCTTAACGCCGTGGTATTCTTTCGCAGGCAAGAACCCACGTTGGATCGAGGGCATCACTGCCAGCGTGCGATGCATAGAGCACGACTTCCTCGTGATTCGGGTGATGAACGACAACACCGTGAAGGAGTAAGTGGGGAATCGTTTGCTCCCTCGACGATTGTCGCGCTTCATGAGACTAACATAACTACCTATTGCGTGCAGTACGCTTATCGGAGAGCTGTGCCTGAAGGTAGAGATGCTGATTGGCCGCAACTTCGAGGACAAGAGCTACCCCATCGAGGCGGACGACACGATCGTCGGGCAGGTGCGGCTTCAACTCGCGCTGTTCAACGACGAGATCATGGACGAGGACGAGATCCGCGACTGCGACGTGGACGGCTGCTCGTGCGCTTCCACGCATCCCGTGCGCGCCACGAAGGTCGGCGACGTGCTGATCGACGGCGTATCGCCCGAGGGCGTGCAGTACCTCGAGGCCGGCACCGCCGTGCACACTGGCTGCGAGCTGGCCGGCAACTACGTCGTGGACAAGGACGTGTACGAAGGCGGCGGCTGGCAGAGCGACGAGCTGGACACCCGTCGATTGGAGCAGCTCGACAGCGACGAGTGGGAAGGCGACGAATTGTAGAGCGTGTGTGCGTTGCAGCCACTTGGTCCACTTCAACTAAAAACAAGCAAAGCAACCAAAACAGCAGGCAAAAATTCTAGTGAACCTACACTTGAAGTGAAATGGCTACACTTTCGAACCGCATGTCGTTTCGTCGTGGTACACTGTACCCTCCCTGATACTATCGGAAGAGCTTGCTGGAAGGGGCGAGTTACCGGTAGGTTGGGTAGTTTTCAGTCTCTCGAGCGAGCCAAACGAGGGAGGAGAGCATGCGCGCGTGTGGACAAGTGGCTGCGCTGGCGCTGTGGGCGCTGGCGGCCCCCAGGGCCGAGGGCTTCTCGCTGCCGGGCGTGCAGATGACCACGTACACCAAGGGCGAGACGCTGCCCATCTTCGTCAACAGCCTCAAGTCGGGCGAGACGCTGCTGCCCCTGGACTACTACAAGCTGCCCTTCTGCCAGCCGGAGCACATCGAGTACAAGTCGGAGAACCTGGGCGAGTACCTCACGGCCAACCGCATCCAGAACTCGCCCTACGAGATCAAGTTCCTCGAGGGCCAGGAGTGCGCCGTGCTCTGCAAGCAGGAGTACGAGGAGAAGGACGTCAAGACGTGGGAGGACAAGATCAAGGACTCGTACCGCGTCAACTGGATCCTGGACAACCTCCCGGCCACGTCCGTGTCGTCCGAGGGCGGCATGACCGTGGGCTTCCCGCTCGGAAGCTTCAACCCGGAGGTGGAGGTCGTGCCGCAGCTCAACAACCACGTCAAGATCCTCATCGGCTACAACAACAACCCGCTGGGCACGGCTGAGGCCTCCGAGGACGAGGGCCGCATCGTAGACTTCAAGGTCATCCCCTACAGCTTCGAGTATGCGGCCAGGAGCTACGACGAGGAGAACAACCGCATGGACGCGTGCGAGCACTCGAGCGACCTCAAGCGCCCGCTGTACGTGCGCAAGAACAAGGAGGGCAAGATGCCCGTCTTCTGGACCTACAGCGTCGAGTGGGTGCTGGACAACGAGCACGACTGGCGCACGCGGTGGGACGTCTACTTCGACGCGGGATCGGGCGGCGACGAGGTGCACTGGTTCTCCATCATCAACGCTCTGGTCATTGTGCTGTTCCTCAGCGGCATGGTGGGCATGATCCTCATGCGCAGCCTTCACCGCGATATCAGCCGCTACAACCGCGTGCCAACCGAGGAGGAGCGCGCTGAAGAGCGCGAGGAGTCGGGATGGAAGCTTGTCCACGCCGACGTGTTCCGTCCGCCGTCGAAGCACCCGATGCTGTTCTGCGTCATGGTGGGCACGGGCTGCCAGCTGCTGGGCATGGCGCTCGTCACGCTCTTCTTCGCTGCTGTTGGCGTTTTGGCGCCGTCGAACCGTGGTAAGCTGGTGATTGCGCTGCTCGTGTGCTTCGTGTTGCTGGGTATGCTGGCTGGCTACACGTCGGCTCGCACGTACAAGATGTTCAAGGGCAAGCGCTGGCAGATGTGCACGGTGTTGACGGCCGTGCTGTTCCCGGGCATCATGTTCTCGCTCTTCTTCTTCCTGAACCTGTTCGTGTGGGGCGCTGGCTCAGACGCCGCTGTGCCATTTGGCTCCATCCTGCTGGTTTTCTTCCTCTGGACGGGCATCTCGGTGCCGCTTGTGTTCGCCGGTGCCTACTTCGGCTTCAGGTACGGCTGTGCTTGGTGAATGTGGCAAATCTTTTGTATTTCTGCGGTTGCTAACGCTGTCTTACTTTTAACCCTTTACAGGAAAGCGCCTCTTACGTTCCCCGTGGCGACGAGCAACATCCCGCGGCCCGTGCCTCCTCAGCCGTGGTACATGAGCCACATGTCGGCGGCGGCCGTGGGCGGTGTGCTCCCGTTTGGCGCCATCTTCGTGGAGCTTTTCTTCGTGCTGTCGTCTCTGTGGACGGACAAGTATTACTACGTGTTCGGCTTCCTGCTGCTGGCCTTCCTTATCCTTATCAACACGTGCGCGGAGATCACGATCGTGCTCACCTACTTCCAGCTGTGCGCTGAAGACTACAACTGGTACGTCAAGCGTGACTTGACGAGTTTCGTCAGGCATCCAGCTGGTTGACTTACCGTGTGTAATTCCGTTTGCTTGTGCAGGTGGTGGCGGTCGCTGTTCGTGTCGGGAGCCTGCGGCGGCTACGTGTTCCTCTACTCGACGTACTACTACTGGACGCGCCTGGACGTGTCGAACTTCATCGGCGCCATGCTCTACTTCGGCTACATGGCCGTCATCTCCGGTGCGCTGTCGCTGCTGACGGGAGCTGTGGGCGTCGGCGCGTCGCTGTGGTTCACGCGCAAGATCTACGCGTCCATCAAGGTCGACTAGAGCAAGCGGAGAGAAAAGGTGCCTACCGGCACAGTAGTGCTATGCGAGCAAGTTGCTCGTGCTGTAGGAACGTACGCGCCCACAGTCCTTCCTGCTTCCGGCGTCTGTTCGCCATAAGGCGCTCAGGTTGATGCATTGAAGAGAGAGAGGAAGTGGGCGATGCGAGACGAATACACTTTCCTTCATAGTGGTTTGCAACTTGGCAAGCAAGGCGACGACGTCGTCGTCTTGCATCGTGTTCAGTTGTGGTGCTGCATTTCAGCCGATAGGCTGTCGTTGCATCGAAGAGCTCACTTGCCTTTTTCCTGATTTATCGGATCTGGTTCAACAGTGATGCATCATCAACTCTCCTCTCCTCCTCTCCTCAAGTCCAATTTGCCTCCAGGTGCTGGTTGTCAATGCAGGACCGTCAGAATGCATTGGCGGGATCAGCTTTGCCGCGTGTGGTGCTGGTGCGGCGGACCCAGCTGGACAACTTGAAGGGTCAATCGAGAGGCAGTAGAGACAAGATCTTGACTCGAGTTTCCCGGCGTTATTGGTCTCGACATGATGGACAACTGCTTGGCGATGCTTGTCATGCTGGTGGCGGTGGTGGCCGCGCAGCATGCGCGTGTTTTTCTGCAGTCGGATGCCCTTCGATTAGGAATCTACAAATGATTATTCTTTGATGGGGGTATTTGTAGAGCGAGCGCGGCATGTGGACTAGGTGACCACGGCAGTGTTTGATCGATGTTGCAGCATCAAGGATAGCTGGCAGCTACTGGCGTTGGTACAGAGAGATTTCACCTGGAGATTTCACACATTTTCCTCAAAATTTAGGGACGCGCTGAGAAGCAGGAAGCGGGAGGGAGCCGTAACGTATCAACGCACCTAAGCTACCTGTGTGCAGTCTTCTTATGAGGCATTACCTTAGAAGTTTCTTTTCGCTGACGACAGCACAATGCCACCATGCAAGGCAAGTTGAGAAAAATCAACCAACCGCTTCCAACGTTATCCAACTTCAAACTTGCACTTTTTTATCTCGTTTGCCTGCGGTTTAGTTTCTAGCTTGGTTCGGTGACAAGGACTCTGGTCGACGTGTCCTCGATGATGTAGGCGCGGATGCCCAATGCTTCTTCGTTGGAACTTCATTGTCTAGCCCACTGTGGTACTAGTATGCCAGTCTTGGAATTTCAATTTCTTGTTAACCCGTACGCCAGCGTTGATACTTCAGGTTTAAGTATGTAAGAGTTCTATCCATGTGGCTGGTTTAATGATACTGACAACAAGTATTAGTTACGTGCACTTTTGCCAAATAAATATCGCAACTTCACTTTTAGATTCTCGGCTGGCCGTGAAAAGAAAGTTGTTCAGCTTCAGGTTAATGAAAACATCGGGACATTTTTACGGTAATTATTTCTATAGATATGTCATGACTGGGGCTTGGGCGAACAATCCACCCTTTGCTGATGCCTTGCTAGCCCATTTCAGCAACCTGTAGCTTCCTGCTCGAGTGTCTGACGCTCGCTGTGCACAGCCACCATATTCCTATTCAGAATCATATCACTAATCTGAATATCCGCATAAAAGTCCCGAACCCAAATAAACCTCGCATATAGCCGTTCTCTGTACCTCGACTTTAGCGACCTGCTTGCTCTCGGACAACTCAGAACCATCACTCCGAGCCAAAAGCTACTTGCCCCCCACATGCTTGAACGCGGCCACATGACGGCCACCATGCGCTCCTCCTCACATTTGCAGCATCCTCCATCCCTATTTGACAGTCCTTAACTCACTCCACCCCCTCCATCTGCTCGATCCGTGGTTGAACCCATTTACCGACCCAGCACCGGGTCCTTATCAATCGCTCCGATATGCCACTAAACCCGGGGTCCCCCTCCCTCGCCCGCCCGAGGTTTTATTCAGATGGCCACCCGAGACCGCACGCAGCGCGGCACTTCCGCACTCCCCGATCGGCAGGCAATCGCGCAACTGATAGCGCAGTGGGCGCTCATCGAGACACGACTCCGCCGGGTGCCAAGATGCAGCGCGGGGGCACGCGCAAGGAGCGGCTGCTGCGCGCCAAGATGATGAAGAAGAAGCTGGACGACGACAACTCGCCGCTGGGCGCGGGCGCCAGCACGTTCGAGGACATCCTGCAGATGTCGGACCTGTCGGAGCAGTCGCTGCTGGCCAACCTGCGCAAGCGCTACGAGCACGAGCTCATCTACACGTACGTGGGGCCCATCCTCATCGCCATCAACCCGTACCAGCAGCTGGGCGACGCCTACAGCGAGAAGAAGATGACCGAGTACTACGGCAAGGCCATGGGCATGCTGCCCCCGCACGTCTTCGCGCTGGCCGACCACGCCTACACGCAGCTCATCCAGGGCGGCGCGCTGGACCCGGCCAACCAGAGCATCATCATCAGCGGCGAGAGCGGCTCGGGCAAGACCGAGACCACCAAGATCATCATGCAGTACCTGGCGCGCGCCACGAGCTACCGCAAGGGCCCCGACGGCGAGGGCGTGGCCCCCGTGGACGCCTCCGCGGCCATGTCGGGCGCACTGGGCAAGCTCGAGGAGCGCGTGCTGGAGAGCAACCCGCTGCTCGAGTCCTTCGGCAACGCCAAGACGCTGCGCAACGACAACTCGAGTCGCTTCGGCAAGTTCATCGAGATCCAGTTCAACCACCACGGCAAGATCGTGGGCGCGCAGATCCTCAACTTCCTGCTGGAGAAGACGCGCATCGTGTCGCAAAGCTTGGGCGAGCGCAACTACCACATCTTCTACCAGCTGCTGGCGGGCGCGGACAACGCGCTGCGCGAGCGCCTGCAGCTCAAGACGCCGCACGACTACGAGTACCTGCGCAAGAGCGAGTGCTTCAGCATCCACTCGTGCGACGACGCCAAGGAGTTCGCCACTACCAAGAGGTGCATGGAGACCATTGGGATCACGGAGGACAGGCAGGAGATGGTGTTCGAGCTGCTCGCGGCCGTGCTGCAGCTCGGCAACTTGCAGTTCGCTATGGAGAACGACACATGCGTGACCGTCGGCGACGACTCGGCCAATGGCATGAAGCTCGTGGCGTCGCTGCTCAAGGTGAGCGAGGACGCGCTGTCCAAGGCGCTGCTGACGCGCCAGCTTTACGTGGGCGGCAAGGTCATCGTGCAGCAGCAGAACTCGGAGCAGGTGCGCGACAAGCGCGACGCGCTGGCCAAGGGCATCTACTCGTCGCTCTTTCTGTGGCTCGTGTCCGAGCTGAACCGCACGATCTCGCGCAACCAAGAGAAGTGGGGCTTCATCGGCGTGCTGGATATCTACGGCTTCGAGAAGTTTGAGTGGAACACGTTCGAGCAGCTGTGCATCAACTACGCCAACGAGAAGCTCCAGCGACACTTCAACCAGCACATGCTCGAGGTGGAGCAGAACGACTACGCGAAGGAGGGCATCGACTGGAAGCACATTGACTTCGAGGACAACCAGGAGTGTCTGGACCTGATCGAGAGCAAGGTGAACGGCAAGCCCGGCATCTTCATCTCGCTGGACGACAACTGGCGGCTCAAGGGCGAAGAGGCCAACAAGAAGTTCGTGTCGAACCTGCACAACTCGTTCGGTCGCACGTCCAGCGGACACTCGAGCAGCAAGAACAAGTTCTATGTGCACCCGAAGATGGACGCGGACTTGCACTTTGGCATCAAGCACTACGCCGGCGAGGTGATCTACGACGCCAGCGGCTTCAACGACAAGAACAATGAGACGTTGAACGACGACATGAAGGAGCTCATCCGACAGTCCAAGAGCGACTGGCTTCGCGGAATCTTTGACCTGAACATGCAGTCGATCGAGGCCATTCCTGGCAACAAGCCGCAGCAACAGCACTCGATCTCTCGGCGCCCGAATGAGATGAAGGGCAAGGGAGCACATCAGCAGGGAAATAAGTCGCGCAACATCCGCGAGGTGTCTGTGAGCGCCCAGTTCCGGTACCAGCTCCAGGAGCTCATGGGCAAGATTTCTCTCGCAAACCCTCGGTATGTGCGTTGCATCAAGCCGAACGAGTTCAAGCGTCCGAGCGAGCTTAACGACCAGGACTGCGCGCGTCAGCTCAAATACTCCGGTATGATGGAGGCGATTCAGATCCGTCAGCGTGGTTTCGCTCTGCGTGAGGACCACGACGTGTTCTTTTACGACTACCAGTCTCTCGCGCCTGACGCTGAGAACGTCAAGGAGCTTGTGGAGGAAATCTCGTCTATGCTGGGTGCAGGTAAGGAAGAGTGGCAGCTGGGCAAGACGAAGGTGTTCCTGAAGAGGGCCATGGCGTTCAAGTTGCGAAAGCTGGAGGTGCTGCGGTGCAAGTCTGCCGCACGTGCTATCCAAAAATGGGTTCGTAACATGGCGAGGGCTGAAGCTGCTATCGTGATTCAAACGAAGGCTCGACAGTTCGTGGCGAAGCGACGACTGCAGCGACTGCGTCGTAGTGCCTACCGTGTGATGTACATTCTTCGTATGCGTGTCGCCATGAGCAAGTACCAGCGGTTGCGTGCGGAGTACCGTCTTCAGAACGAAAAGGCTGTAGTTGTGCAGAAAATTGCGCGTGGATACTTGATTCGTAAGCGGGACTTGCTTCATCCGTTTGGAGGAATGGGTCCGAAGGAATTAGACGCAAAGATCGTGGAGATGGAAAAGGCCATTGAAGATGCAGCACTGAGCAAGCAGTTCGAACTGTGTGCAAACTTGCAGCTGGAACTGGAAAAAATCGTTGAGGCTCGTAAGAAGGTTCGCACCGCGAAGGAAATCGACGCCGAGATCAAGAAGCTGAACGAGGACATGGAGGCAGCCGCGATGTCGAAGCAGTTTGGGTTGTGTGCCGATCTCCAGAAGCAACTTGAGGCGCTGCAGGAAGCTCGTAAGCACGTTAAGGAGGATCTCAACGAGCTGGAGCCCGAGGAGCTTGACGAGCGCATTCATGCGATGGAAGCTACCATTGCTGAAGCAATGGCCGCGCGCGACTTCGGCAAATGCAGCGATCTTCAGATCAGCTTAGATGCGTTGGTGACTGCTCGGAAGAAAAAACAGACCCCCGAAGAGCTGGATGCGGAGATCGAGAGGCTGAACCAGGAGCTTGACAACTTGATGAAGAAGAAGCAGTTCGACAAGTGCGCGCAGCTTCAGAAGGATATTGATGTTGTCAAGAAGAAGAGGGCGAAGTTCCCTGCTCCAGTTCCGAAAACTCCGACGCCACCGCTTTCTCCGAAGAAGGCAGAGCCGCCGGCAGAGCCAACGCCGCCTCCGTCGCCGAAGAAGGAGACACCGCCGCCGGAAGAGCCTGAACCGCAGCCTGCTACCCCTGTTGCTCCTGCTCCGCCGTCGAACATGGATCGCAGCGGTATTCCGCCTGCGCGTGAGCCCACTCCGGCACCGACCTCCGCTCCTGCTGCTTTCCCTGGTGAGAAGCAGCCTGCGTTTGAGATTCCTGAGCCTGCTTCTAAGGCGGTCCCGGCTCCTCAGGCAGTCCCTGCCCCGCAGGCATCTCCTGTTGCGTTAACCCCGGCGCAATCGTTTGAGGATTACCCAGCTGCTCCAGTGAATGACTACCCGGTCCCTCAGGAGGTCCCTACGGCGCCTGCTCCGACGATGCCCAAGCGACCGCCAGCAATTTACAACGGCCCTGCTCCGACCATGAGGAGGGGGGATGCGAAGCCGCCCACTATGACTCCGGTGATGCCGCAACGTCGTGCCCGCTCAGGCTCCAACAGCTCTGCAACCTCTGGACACTCGTTTGCGAGGTCGCACTCGTCGATGATGTCGACGTCTTCTAAGACGAAGAAGTCAACGTCTACGTCAGATCCGTCGCGCACTGTTGCCCGCCTCCGGCCTGCCAAGGCGATCACGGTAAACGAGGACGCGACAGTGTTAGAAGCTGCTAGAATGATGAAATCCCACCGCGCAGCAGCAGTGCTTGTGACCAATTGGGAGGGCGCACTGACCGGCATCTTTTCGGACACTGATGCCGCTCGTCGTGTGGTTTCCAAGGGCGTGGACTCCGCTAGAATCACTGTTGGATCTGTTATGACGCCGAACCCCAGCTGTGTCAGCCTGGAGGACAGCGCAGTCGATGCGATGGACATCATGCTGAGCGGAAAGTTCCGCCACTTGCCCGTGATCAGTTCTCACAGCGGAAACATTGTCGGAATTCTCAACGTGGCGAAGTGCTTGCACGATGCCATTCGACGAGTGGAGAACATGTCATCGTCTCTGCAGCAAGAGCTTGGTGCGAGCTCGAACAATGTCATGCTGCGTGGAATGCTCGAGAAGATGTTGTCTCCGTCGCTCCAGGATGTGGTATCGGCGCCAGGCGAGGTTATGCCGCCGCTTGTATACGGAAACATGACGGTTTATGAGGCGACGACGTACATGGCGGAGACTAGACGGCCAGCTCTTGTGGTTTCATCAAATCCGGAATTCCAGGAGCTTATCGGTATCTTCACGCCGAAGGACGTGCTGCATCGCGTCATTGCGGAGGACTTGGACGTGAACACCACTACGGTTAGTCAGGTGATGACTCCGAACCCGGAGTCTGCCGCTCCAGAGACGTCGGTGTTGGACGCCTTCCACATTATGCACGATGGCAAGTTCCTGAATTTGCCGGTGGTGTCTCCGGACTCTGGTGATATTATGGGCGTTGCGGATGTGCTGTCAATTAGTTTGGCTTCTTTCGGAGAGGCGCGCGACATCGGCAAGTTCTTCAACGCTGCTTTCGACTACCATGACGATGACACCAACTCGATCGTGTCAGGCAGGTCTACGTCCAACATGTCTAATGCCAGCAAGGTGCGTCAGCAGAAGGACCGCGATAAGGGCGTCAACGTTCGCCCCGTGTCAAGCCTGCGCCCCCTTCCGGCTATCACGATCGACGAAGTTGCGTCCGTTTTTGAAGCTGCTTTGCTGATGAAGCAGAAGCGAACGGACGCGTTGCTGGTTGTGGATGAAGCTGGCGGCCTGAATGGTATTTTGACCGACACGGATATTTGCCGCCGCGTGCTGGCGCTGAACCTGATTCCCGAGGAGGTGCCTGTGTGCAACGTGATGACGAGGGACATCAAGTATGTGTCTCCCAACGACAGCGCCATCGACGCGCTGCTTTCGATGCAGGAGGGACACTTCCGCCACCTGCCGGTTGTGGATGGCGGCAGCATCGCTGGCGTCCTGAACATTGGCAAATGCATTTACGATGTCTCGAAGCGCCTCGAGCACGCTACGCAGTCCACGGACCAGTTGAAAGCATCACTTGAGAAGAGCGGTAAGTCGTCAACTCTCCAGCAACTACTGGCTCCCATGTTGGAGAAGCTCGCTACGCCTACTTTAGGGTCTATCCTGGAGAACGAGACTCAGAATGGATCTACCCCTGCTCCGCGTCTTCCGAAGTCGTCCCTGGTCAGTGATGTGGTCAAGGCGATGGCATCGACGAAGAAGGCGGCGCTTATTGTCGACGACTTCAACTTCGACAAGCTGGTGGGCATCTTCTCCCCGAACGAGCTCGTGCTGAATGTGATTGCGAAGGGATTGAAGACGTCGGCTACGTATGTTGAAGAGGTGATGCAGAACGACCCGGAGATCGCTACGCCTTCGACGTCTGTGCAGGACGGCTTGCACATCATGCACGACTCACGCTGCCTCAACCTGCCTGTGTTGAAGGACGACTCGAATGAGCTCGTTGGCATGGTCGATGTGCTGGACCTCAGCTACGGCACAATTGATGCCATCTACGGCGAGAACCGTGAGCAGATGCAGGAGTTTTGGAACACGACGCTGCAGCTGGACCAACCTTCTTTGCCTTCGGAAGCTGGCGACCGTGAGCGCACGACGCTGATGTCCAGGGCTGAACGCGAGGAGAAGAGTCGCACAGTGGCAAAGCTGCGGCCAACCAAGGTGTTGACTGTCTCGGAGTCCACAACCATTGCGGAGCTGTCTCGGACAATGGGCCGCAACAAGATGGACTGCGTGCTGGTCGTGTCGGACGAGGGAATGCTCAACGGTATTATCACGGACACGGATCTGACGCGCCGTGTTGTCTCGGAGAACAAGCCGCTGGACTCGACACGTGTGGGCGACGTCATGACTCGTAACCCTGTGTTTGTGTCCATGGATGATCCTGCCATTGATGCGCTTATTTGCATGTTGGAGGGCAAGTTCCGCCACTTGCCGGTTGTTGAGCGCAATGGCCCCGTTGTGGGCATCCTCAGCATTGCGAAGTGTCTGTACGATGCTATCAGGAAGATGGAGAAGTCGGAGCAGTCGTCGGCAGCGCTGCGTCACACGTTGGAGAAGGAGATGAAAAGCCGCGTGAATGGTGGCGCTCGTACCGGTGGTGTTTCCCAGCTCCTTGGATCGATGGTGAATAAGATGTTCTCACCGGACATCAAAACGGTGATCGACGAAGAAGGCATCGATCCTCCGCGCGTGCAGCGGTACACCTCTGTCTACGAAGTTTCCAAGCAAATGTCCATCACTAAGAAGGCAGCTCTGGTTGTGAACAACCGCGGCCAGTACTGCGGTATTTTCACCCCCAAGGAGATGCTGGAGAAGGTGCTTGCCCGTGGACTGCCTGTCCACACGACGCCTGTGTGCGAAGTGATGCTGGAGAAGGACGTGACTATCAACGGAGCTACCTCCGTGATTGACGCTATGCACACGATGCATGATCACAAGACGCTGTACCTGGCAGTGATGCAGTCTGAAACGAACAAGCAGCCCATCGGTGTGATCGATGTGCTTTCTCTGAGCTATGGGTCTTTCGCGAAGGGCAAGCCCAGTGAGTGGAAGTCTTTCTGGAACGCTTCGTTGGAGGCTACCGATGACGATGATGTGTCGTCGCAGCACAGTTTCCGCAGTGGCTTCTCCCACAACCTCGCGCCAAGCAGTGCGGGCATGAGCCAAAAGGGCCGTCAGGCTAGTTTGGCAACGGGCAATGTGCGCCCTGTGTCGAAGCTGCGGCCATCCAAGGCGATCACGATTTCGGAGACGTACTCTGTTGCTGACGCTGCGAAGGAGATGAGCATTGCGCAGACGGATGCTGCACTGATCATTGGACGTGACGGCGGACTGCTCGGTATCCTTACCGATACTGATGTGACGCGCCGTGTGGTGGCTCTCGGCAACGATCCGTTTTACGTGAGCGTGCTCGACGCGATGACCCCGGACCCGAAGTTTGTGGATGAACGCGATAGCGCCATGGATGCTATGTTCATGATGCTTGAAGGCAAGTTCCGCCATCTTCCCGTTGTGGACGAAACAGGTATGGTCGCGGGTATGCTGCGCATCCAGAAGTGCCTGTACGACGCCATCACGCGTATTGAAAAGGTCCAGCAATCGTCGAGCGGCTCGCTCCGAGCTCGTCTGGAGAAGCAGCTGCAGGCCACCGGTATTGGTACTGGTCAAGGTGCGCTGAAGCAGCTTGTGGCCCCCATGGTGGAGAAGCTTCTTTCGCCCACGGTTGATTCGATTCTGGAGGACGAGACGCTCCCTCCGCTCGTGAGCGAGCACGACACGGTGATGGAAGTGGCGCGTCAGATGGCTGCGTCCCGCAAGGCCGCGCTCATTGTGGAGGACCCGAACGGTGACAACAGCTCGTCTGTTAGTGGAGGACACCGCTCTTCGATTAGCGGAGGCGGCTACGATATTGGCACTTCGGCGCTTACTAGAAAGGTGCTGGGTGTGTTCACACCTAAGGATCTTCTGCTCCGCGTCACGGGTGCTGGTCTGGATGCTGCTGAGACGACTGTTGGTCAGGTCATGACGCCTGACCCTGAGACGGCTCCGCCGACCACCAAGCTTGTGGATGCGCTTCACGTCATGTATGAGCACAACTTTCTGCACTTGCCGATCGTGAACAACGAGACGGACACGATTGTGGGTATGCTGGACGTGTTGTCCTTGTGCTACGGTACTTTTGCAAGCGGTGCGGCTGCTGAAAGCGGCAAGCCCATTGACGAAGACTCGGACTGGCGCTCGTTCTGGGATGTGTCGTTGGCTCTCGGCCACGACGACGACGACTTCAGCGAACTTGCAAGTATGACGGGCTCGCGTATTTCTCGTCGGCGTCCGGGCAAGTACACGGAGAGCCACCACTCGTCGATGATGGACCACGTTCCCGAGCCTGAGGGTGCGATGCGACCCGTTTCGATGCTGCGACCGCAGGAGGTGACCCGCATCAACGAGTTTATCACTGTTGCAGAAGCTGCGAAGCGCATGCGGCAAGCACGTGTCGAGGCTGTTGTGGTGACGACAGAAGAGGGCGAGCTTCGTGGTATCCTGACGGACACTGACATCACGCGCCGCGTGCTGGCCGAAGACATCGATCCGGAGAGTTGCTCGGTTGCATCTGTGATGACTACCAAGCCTAGCTGCGTGTACATGGAGGACCAGGCCATTGAGGCTATCACTAAGATGCTCGAGGGCCGGTTCAAGCACTTGCCGGTTCTCGGCTCGGATGGCACCCCGCAAGGAATGCTCGACATTTCCAAGTGCCTCTACGATGCCATCACGTGTCTGGAGAAGGTGCAGCAGTCGACGGAGGCGGCAGCGTCCGAGTTCTCGCGTGATCTCGGCACGGGCTCGAATCTGCAGCGGCTGCTGGGTCCGATGATGGAGAAGATGGTCCGGCCTACCGTTGGTGACGCGCTTGACGGCGAGATCATGCCGCCTGTGATTAACATTCACACCACGGCGGCTCGTGCGGCGAAGCTGATGGCAAACACGAAGAAGGCTGCGATCGTTCTTGGCGACGAGCAGGAGCTGTGTGGTATGGTGACGACGAAGGACCTGCTGCGCAAGCTGGTGGCCAAGGGTTTGTACGCCGAGACTACGACCGTTGAGGAAGTGATGACGATGGACCCCGACCTGATGGGGCCCAATATGAGCATCGTGGATGGTTTGCGCTCGCTGCACGACGCCGGTCAGCTCTTCATGCCGGTGCTGGCTGACGACGGTGAGATCCTGGGCATGGCGGATGTGATTTGCCTGAGCTACGGCCAGTTCCAGACTACGTCTGGAGGCACGTCGAACGGCGACTGGCGGCAGTTCTGGCAGACGGCCATGAACCTGCAGGAGGAGGTTGCGGGAGGTGCGTACGGCGGCATGAACGACGATGCTCGCTCCGTGGGTACCATCGAGGAGTTCGAGCGCGACGAGTACAACGCTTCGACCCCGACGGCGAGTGCTGTGGGCATCAACGGTGCCGGCAGGTACTCCAACTCGCTGGGTGCGTACGCCGAGCTGGGCGAGAGCGTGTCGGTCGTTAGCGGTGCCAACACTGCAACGACCAGTGTGCTGATGCAGAAGGTGACGGACGAGAATACGTTCGTGTTCAAGGTGAGCGATGGGCCTCAGGGCCACTTCCACCGCATCATGTGCCGGTTCAACACGATGGGTCCGCTGCTGGAGCAGATTCGCTTCAAGATGGGGCTGGACGACAATGAGGCGCTGCGCCTCAAGTACGAGGACGACGAGGGTGATCTGGCGCTGCTGACGTCCGATGAGAGCCTCGTGGAGGCTGTTCACATGGCCCAGCGCGCCGGGTGGAAGCGCCTGGTCCTTGTGGTGGACGTGGTCAAGCGTCCGCAGCACGACGGCAACGGCAGCGTGGTGTCAGTGGCCAGCTCGGCAGCCAGCGGCTCGAACGCCGCCGGCCCCAAGCCGCGCAACCGTCTGCTCACCAAGGTGGAGGAGATGTCTTCGTCGTCCGAGAGCAGCGACGACGACAGCAGCTCGGAGGAGATCGTGCGGAAGAAGAGCAAGAAGTCTCGTCGCAGCAAGGGCCGCGACCAGGGCTTCTCACTCCACAGCAACGCCGGCCTCGCGATCGCTGGCGGAGCTGCCACTCTGGTGATGGGTCTAGGCGCCATGGCTCTCATGCTGCTGCGGCGCAAATAAACGATAGGGAAAAGAGAGAAAGAGAGAGAGTTGTAGGATGATGGCTCTGTTGTGACTGAATAAAGCAAAGCAATACCAGTGCGTATAGAAGAAGAAGAACATGTTGCAAGGGTTTCTCGGTTGTTGCCAATTTTGAGGCAAAAGTCACTTGCGTAGTAATTTGTGGTCTACTTACACATACATGAATAGTGTCACGAAAGCCTTCGGTCGGCGATCAGAACTCACACGGACGAGAGGTCGAGTTTGAGCTGCTTGGGATCTGCCTCTCGCTTGTTGCTGATGTCGGTCACTACTGCGAGTTTGACGTCTCCCTCTCCGGGCTCGCTGCACTCGTCGTCAGTAGGCGTACCCAAACTGGGCAATTTGCCGTCGCCGTTCAAACTTCCAGCGGGGGACTGCGCCGCCTGCGCCACGAGGAAACTTTCGTCCCGAACATCCTTCTTTAGGAAATTGTCCTGGATCCAGAACTGCAGCGCGTTCATCAAACACGGACACGCGATCATGACGAGCGCCAACTCGACCTCCGGGTGCTTGTCCAGCGGCTTGAACAGCAGCACGGCGAACGCTCCCAGCGGCTTCTCGAACACCACGATGAGGGACGCGATGAAGAATTTGCACGAGAAGATGACGATGATCCACGAAATCACTTGCAGCAGCCACGTGCGAACGCGGATGGGAATACCGTAGTCTCCAGGAGTTTTAAGTGACGTCCAGCCGAAGCGATGGGCCAGCAACACCACGCCGGAGAGCAGGACGTAGTTGAGGAAGACGCCAAAAGTCGTATCCAACGTGAAATTCACGAAATACAGCGCACACTGGAAATAGCAATAACAATAGAAACAAAGGTGAGAGAATAATTGACAACATGCAACGAATATCTTGTCGTAACGTACCTGGTCCACAGCTTCTTCGTCCGTGAGTTGCTCCTGTTGGTACGAGTAGAGCAGGATGGCGATGAGCAGATTCGCCACGTGCGCGAACGTGGCGCCGATCATTTGCTTGGAGGCGTCGAAAGCCCACACCTACAAAAAATTGACAATATTGCAGCAACAATAAAAAAATATTGGCAGGTTAGAGACTGCGTAACCGACCAGACAATTTGTTGCCGTTGTTGCCGTACCATGAGCGGGCGTCGCGGCACCTCGCGCAGCCGCTTGAGCACGAGCACGGACATGGCGATGAGCCCCAAGAGAACCTGCAGCCCCGCCGCGAAGCTGCCGCTCAGCAGCTTGCACTCGTCCGGGTTGCCGTCTCCGCTGCCGTCGCCCCACGCGCTCATGCTGCCGTTATGTGTCTCTAACTGGCTTGGCGCCGGCATGAGCAATTTAGTTGAGGAGTTGTTGCAATGTGATGAAAGTGGGATGTGTAAAAATTCTATTATTGGATAAAAACGTGCAAGAACTTCAGCTATTGGTCAAAACTGTCTCAGAAAGGGTAAAAACAGGTGGAGATCAGTACCCATAATCAGATGCAACGGACGAACACGCCCAAGTACGTGGCAAAAGTTGACAAGGTGAGCTCTTCATCATAATTTTTTTTGTTCTCTTCACCGCACGACTTCCTCTACTGTCCTTCGCGGGAAGAGGTCGTTAAATCCATTGCCAGTTGCCACTGTGGGGTCCAGAGATCGAGTTTCGTGGCGCTTGGGGTCGAAGTACGACTGCAGGATCTCAAAGTCCTGACTCATCGAGCCGCCGAGGAAGCAGCCCACGCCCGTGGTCGAAAACACCTTGGACTCGCTGGCCCCTGGCGTGGCCGTGTCACCGTCGATGCACGAGGGTTGCAGCGTGGTGCGGCTCTCTCCGACGGGGGTCACACTCAGCAGCACTGCGTCCTCGTCGTCCTCTTCCTCGTGCACCAACACGCCGTTCATCGTGTCGCTGTACACTTCGCCCTCGAGCAGTCGATGCAGCTGCGCGCTCTCGCGACGTAGCCTCTCCAGCTCGCTCTGCAGGTCCGAGTTCTGCTCCACTTGACTCTGGAGTTGCTGGTGAGCGACGCTGAGCTGGTCCTGGAGCTCGCGCTGAGTGACTTGCAACTCCTTCGCCCATGCGTCCTACAGGGAGCAACCAGTAATAGGCAAGAGTTGGATGAGTTGTTCAGGATAAAGGCCAATATGAGTGCACGCCGATCAGCAGAACACCACACGACAGCGGACAGCACGCAACATGGAGGAAAGGGGACCTGATATACCCGAGAGTCATTCGATTCCAGCGCGCGCAGGTAGAACGCCGTCCAGATCGCCAGCGAGCTCGTGTGCCACTTGAACTGCAGCACTGTCGGAGATCTGTCGCTTGAGGCCTCGCCACGAAGCGGTACCATGTAGAAAGGATTTCGGAAGTCGCCAGCCTGAGGGTGCGCTTCCAGTAACGTCCAGGCGCTCATGCATCGGATGACCGTCTTCGACCCCTAATAAACAACAAGACGGACGATGATGAGGACGCAGCGGGCACGGTAGTCACTATGATGCAATACTACGAACCATTCGCGCCTCCTCGCAGTCGTGCAGGAAGGTTCCGCTTCGCTTGTTGTAGACTTCGTCGAGAAGTGCGATGAGATAGCGCTCGTTGAACTCGAAGGAGCATGGGAACTGGCGCATCAGTTGCCACACAGCATCCACGAACTGCATAAACACTGGGGACGTGTTGTCGTCCTCCCAGTACGCTGCTTGGGTGTCTGTGTGCCCCGATCGAGCGCGGAACTGGTGTCCAAATGCACACCACTCCTGCTCAATCAGCACCTGAGTAAAGTGACATGACAGAGAGTATGACACTCGTAAGGGAACTTGTAAAGGCAATCATAGTAGTAGATCGAACTGTACCTGGAAGCCCTTGACTGTTCGATAAAATGGATCTACGCACAGCTTGACCAGCGCTGTGATCTGAGCAGTGCGGTCCCATCCATCGGAGCAGTGGATCATCAAGCTGGTACCTTCCACGAGCTTTGACACGCAAATGGAACACGACACCAAGACGGAGCGCACGTGCTCCAGCCATCTCGTGCTCTGGAATGATAGAATATATCATCGACGTTTGTTAGCTGAAGATTGTACTTCAGACTATTCATCATGAAGACAACAGTAGACACGCACCTCAAGGCACGAAAGCCAGTTGGGCCGTTCGTTGCCGCGCACTTCGTTCTTGATTAGATCGAAGAGCTTGCGGATCGAATCTCGCATCGAGTGAATGTTTTCGATACCCATGAACATGATGTTGGTATCCTTGTAGTAATCCAGCCTACCATCGCCAACACCGACAAAGCACTTGCAATGAGAAAAAAAACAACCAGCAACTACCACCACCACAACACCAACCACTCACACTTCAAACCCTCCGCCCAGCGCGATATTCCCGTACGCACTGGTCTGACTTCGACAGTCGATAAACAACAGCTTCCCCTTGCACTCTCTTCGCAGTGCGGCCATGTAGGCTTCGTCCGAGGTGCATCTCTTCCTCCTGAGACCCACAAGAGGCTGCGCACACCTCGCCACCACTGCATCATTCTTGTGTCGGTGCGTCACCGCCGGCACGCGCCCACGCGCTCGAAAGAAACTGATTTTCCTCAACTCCCCATCCGACACGGAGGCGGGCACCACGAAGGCGCTGGGGTACGTCGGCGACATCTTGTAGCTATTGTTCACGTGCGTAATCCGGAACCCTCCGATTTGTGCGCCGGTTTTCGGCGTCTTGAAGCCCAGTCGAGTGAACTCCGCCTGCGGGTCGTACGCCGCCCACCCCGACGTGTCTGGCTGGCGAGCAAACGCATACGCAGCAGGCTGCAACTTGTCGATGAGCATCTGGTTGATCTTCACGTAAACGTCCCTAGACACGGCCTCTCCAGGGAAGTTGAACTTGACCAGCTCAAAGTTTTTGCACGAAACTTCCAGCTGACTCATGGGACCCAGTTTGCCGTTCACCCGGAACTCAGCCAGCTCGGCAATGTTGTTTAAGTGAACTTCCACTAACTCCTCGTGGTGTTGCTGCTACATACACAAAATGACAATATTTTCAGTAAGTAAAAAATCTTTAAAAATATCAGATGAAGGTTAGAAAACTCACCTGGAAAGAGCGGAAGAGCAGTCTGTAGCTGGTGAGGAAGAGCGTTCCATGCATCACGTCGTCGTCGTCATCTTTAGAGGATTTTTTGTTGCCAGTGACCCCTGCCACTCTCCCCAGAGTGGACTGGTCACACAGTGCGTGCACCTTAAAGTGCACGGTCTCGCCCATATAGAGGGCGCCCGCGGGGTTTTCCATGACCAGATACATACTCTCTGACACGTACGACGTCTGCAACAGGCAACATGCAACAGCAACAGTTAAGCACCACTTAAATCGAAAATGACAAAAATTATTGGCACCGGAATTTCTGTTTTTCTCTCTCTTACTGCATGGTCGAGCTCCTGGCGCTCCACCTCCGTCCACGAGTCCTCCTCGACGCTGCGTCGGCTGCTGAAGGACAGCGCTCCCTCCCCGCGCCTCGAAGTGGCACGCACTGCGCCGCCGAACATGATCTCTCTAACTGGTTAGCACTAGTCTAAACGTGCTCTTGGGGTGCCCCTTGTTGCAGGGCGGGCCGTTTTTCTTCACTTTGTCGCTGCTTGGGTTTCTGATAAGGTCAGCTGGCCACGCTAAGTACGATTTGTCATGCTGAACTTCTTCGATTGGCTGGTTACGGGCACTTCAACTTGGGGACAAATGTTGCCATGTTGGCCTACTGAGGGAGATATGCGTCCCCCATGGTCGCGAGCGCGGCCTGCAGCTCCTCCGGTGCGTCAGGGCTCATACCGGCGCGCGTGAACTCGTACAGTGTGCGTTTGTCGCTCTTCTCCACCCTTTGCGCCAATGTCGACAGGTAGTTGCCGACCTCGGAGCTCGACGCCAATTGTGACACCGCGTCGATCGACGTGCCTGCCAATGACGGAAGGCGGTAGGTATCAGGCAACAGAAGCGGCGAAGCTTGGGACCATTGCAGCGTAATGTCGCGGGGTGACACGGGGAATCTGTCGATGGAGTGACGCAGGGACGGGGAGTTGGCGAAAGCTCCTCGGAAGTGGAGGCGTCGGTAGTGCGTCTTGAAGCTGGGGTTTTCGTCGTCGAACTTGCGGGTGGTAAGCTGCGGGAGGACGGGGAGCAGCGAGCTAGAGTAGAACGGGTCTTCAGTCGACGAGCTGCTGCGGCCGACTTCGGCTGTTGCGCTGTCGCTGATTCGCTGCAGGAGGGTGGTCGGGTCACTCGTGTGCGGGAACGACGCGGCCAACTCGGCGATTTTCATGCTGGGTTGGAAGCCCTCCAGGATCTCGTTCACCGACCGCCCTCTGCTGCCTGGCATGGCGAGTTTCAGCGCCGTGGCGACTACAGAGCTGACTTGGGCACAGTTCGACCGGTCAACTCTGAGCTGCGAGAACCGAGTGCTTGGCAAAGTGCTGGGCGACATCGCGACGGGCACCAGGAGGCCGGAAATCTCCGACAGTAGCGCGACTGACGACGCCACGTTGATCCTCTTCCGTCCCTCGATCTTGGTGCGGTCGCGCACGTGCGGCGCGACGCGAAACACCGCGTCGTCGTCGTCCGTAGCCATGGGGTAGCTCCAGTCGTTGCCCACCACCACAATCACCGCGCCGGGGCACTCCTCGGCAACGTACGTCATCATCTCGTGGGCCAGTCCGCCCCAGGATGAGTCCATGTCCACGAGGCCCTGCACGAGCCTCAGCTGGTCGCAGGACTCGAGCACCGCCCGCACGCGGTCCTCGGCGTCCTCCAGCGTCGCGTTGCCGATGATTCCGCCGTTGGAGACGGCGTGGCCCTCGTAGAAATTGTGCAGCGGCATGTGCAGCCGGAACTCGTCCACCTCCACGAGGTTCCGCTCATTGAGGCTGCCCCAGCTCCACAGTCCGTCCTGCTGTGACCCCGTCACGGGTTCAACCCCTGATTGGTCGTACACCTGCACACCTCCACCCCTGCACAATAATAACAATAATAAGATGCATGGCAAATATGTGTTTCGTTAGAGAATAAATGAAAATATTGGTGCTTATCAAAACTGATGTTTATTTCGTACCACGTTGCTGGGTCTTCCTGTTGCTGTGGCGTTGGTCGGAGCTGCCTGCGCACGCGGCCTTTGGCTTCGAACGCCAGCACATGGGGCGTCTTGGAGCTCTCGTTGGCCTGCTGCAGCGCCAGCCACTGGGTGCCGATCGTCGTGGCGGCCGAGCCGAACTGCAGGCGCAACGTCTCCTCCTCCATTGCTGCGTGATGTGATGGGGTTTACGTACGCCACACCATTGTCTTTTATTGCTGACACATGGCTACTTAAGTACATTTTTCTAAGAATGCAACTTTTTAGGCAAGTCACAGTGAAGCGATTCCGCTGGTGGAGACTTACTTTTACCGAGTGTCAAGAACTTGCCATGGTCGAGCTCCGTCGTTGCTCAAGACGTGTTGGAAATAACGGGTCAAGGCCTCAGACTGCAGCGAGTTCGGACATTCGACTGTACACAGTAATCGCTATCGGCCCCTCGTTTGGACCCAGAAGCTGCAGTTCTCGCACTGCGCGGCGCTTGCTGGTCGTGTGAGAAGCAACCTGCGTCGATGGTATGGTGCCGACTTCCGCCAGCTTGAGAGAGAGAGATCCATCCACCCATTCGCCACCGCCATGATCGACTTACGGCGAGAGTTTGTTGCCGTTTCGCCGCCTGGTCACAATTCCGGCCTCCAGCGCAGTACGCGTGGGTGCAAGTGTTTGAAGCGATTACACGCCAGGAGAAAGCCACATCTAAATGAGCTCCCAGATGGCGCTGAGGCACTACCGGTAGATGTGCGTGTCGTCGTGCCCTCTTGGATCCATCGTTTCGGCCAGCACACACACGACGGGAGGAGGAAGACGGACCGATTGAAATGTGTGGAGAATAAATCACTGGATGCGGATCTCACCACGTACGCTGCGACAGCGACAACGCTACGTCGTGCAATGCGGTGGCCAAGTGCTTCACGCAAGGGCGCTGGCGCTCGCGGGCATCGATTCCGAGCCAACATCTTGGTGATCCCCGTTTGGGGTTGTGCCCGGTTAAGACCTACCATGCGCTTTTCCTCTCGCTGCCAATACTGTACCACGGATAGCCTACAGTGTTGTCGATGCGTTATCCCAAGAACTTCTTTGGGCCGTCCCGCCACACGAACGCTCTGAAATGTGAACCCGACACTAACGGGACTTGCGGTGGGAGACCATATCGAGTTAATCCGTGTGTCACGTCGAGACTTGAGGACAGGCGGCACGTACGAGGAGGCACAGTGGGGGACAATGAATGTGCTGTTCGCAGAGCTCAGCGTACTTCCGTGGCGACCAATGATTCTCTGGACTTGCCTGCGCTTCTTGCCATGGAGAGAGAGAGAGAGATCGCGCCTCCGACGCCAAGTGATCGGTCGATCGATCGATTCTGGCCGAGCCGAGCAAAGTCTCATTCCCCAATTTGCCAGTTCGACTCAACATCTTGAGTACCACCAACCTCCAATCAATCTCGACACCATGGTCCGCGTCTTGAAGCCGTTCAGCGTCGTCCTCGCGACGGCGCTCTCGCTCGGTCTTGCGGCCGCTGCTGACCCCACCGTCTCGGTCCTGGGCGACGCGACCTACACGATCCCCGAGTCCCGCGGAGTCATCTGCATCGGCTCCGGTGACGTCCCGACTGGAACGGCCTGCCCTCTGAAGGGCGACGTCGCGTCCGAAGCCTGCCGCGAGGGTATCCCTTCGTACAACGGCGGCGAGTGCGTCGCGCCCAAGGACGCTCAGTGCGTCATCGTCACGGGCACGACCTGGGGCTGCGCGTTCCCGGGGGAGGGGGAAGAGACGCCCTACCAGAGCGTGGAGCAGACTTCGTCGTGCGCCGGTGAGACTGAGGCGCCGTACCAGCAGACCGCGTCGTCCACGTCCGGCTCGTGCGGTGACGATGTCCCCGAGGTGACGTACCCGGACCAGGACGAGGTGACGTTCCCCTCCGGCTACGGCAGCTCGGAGGCTGCGACGCCGTACCCCACGAAGGGCACCACCGACTACCCCGTTGACCAGGCCACCGACTACCCGGTTGACCAGGCCACCGACTACCCGGTTGACCAGGCCACCGACTACCCGGTTGACCAGGCCACCGACTACCCGGTTGACCAGGCCACCCCGTGCCCGACTCTCCCTTACGCCTACGAAGGAGAGCAGAGCTACGGGAACCAGGACACGCCGTGTCCGACGCTGCCCTACAGGTACAACACCGGAGGCGAGAGCTACCCCACTCAGGACACCCCGTGCCCGACGTTCACGCTTCCTGGCGGTGACTACACGCAGACCGGCGGCGACAACACCCAGAACGGTGGTGACTACACGCAGAACGGTGGCAGCTACACCCAGAACGGTGGTGACTACAACCAGAACGGTGGCAGCTACACCCAGAACGGTGGTGACTACCAGCAGACTGGCAACGGCTACCAGCAGGGGACAGGCGGTGACTACACCCAGAACGGCAACGAGGGTGGTGCCTACAACCAGGGCAACGCCAATGGCGGTGACTACACCCAGGGCAGCCAGACTGGCAACGCCAATGGCGGTGACTACAACCAGGGCACGAACGAGGGCGGCGACTACACCCAGCAGGGGAACAGCCACATTTACGACCACGAGGGAAGCTACAACAACGGCGGCAAGCAGACCCAGGGCGGTAACTATGGCCACCAGGGATCTGGCAACTACGGCCACGAGGGCGGCTACCAGCAGGGAACGCAGGCCCCGTGCTCCTCGTCGAAGGACAATGGTGACTACCAGCAGCACAATGGCGACTACCTCCACGGTGGCAAGCAGGGCTACGAGGGCAGCCACGCCTCCACCTACGATGGACAGCACAGCCACGATGGCTACGTCCAGCAAAGCTATAGCAACAGCGATGCCAGCGACTCGGTGGACACCCCCTGCTCTTCCTCGAAGGACCACGACGGCAAGTACGACCACGATGCCGAGCACTCTCACGGCGGCGAGTACGGCCATGGCAGCACTTCCGTTGATGGTTCGTCGTCGCAGGGCTATGAGGGCAGCCACCACGGCGGTGACTACCACCACGGCGGCAAGCAGGGCTACGAAGGAAGCCACGGACATGACGACAAGTACAACCACGACGGGAAGCAGGGCTACGAGGGAAGCCACGCCAGCGGCTCTGTGGACGCTCCGTGCTCGTCGTCGAAGGACTACGAGGGAAGCCACGGACATGGCAGCAAGTACGAGGGCAGCCACAGCCACGGCGGCGAGTACGGCCATGACAGCACTTCTCTGGATGACTCGTCGTCGCACGACTACGAGGGCAGCCACGGCGGCAAGTACGGCCACCAAGGAAGCAACCAGCACGGCGGTGAGTACGGCCACGACAGCACCTCCCTGGATGACTCGTCGTCGCACGACTACGAGGGCAGCCACGGCGGCAAGTACGGCCACCAAGGAAGCAACCAGCACGGCGGTGAGTACGGCCACGACAGCACCTCCCTGGATGACTCGTCGTCGAAGGCTTACGAGGGCAGTCACCGTCACGGAGGCAAGTACGAGCACGATGGCAAGCATGGCTACGAAGGCAGCCTCTCGAGCGGCTCTGTAGATGCTCCGTGCTCGTCGTCGAAGGACTATGAGGGCAGCCACGACCACGGTGACAAGTACGGACACGGCAGCACCTCTGTCGACGATTCGTCCTCGACGGACTACGAGGGCAGCCACGGGCACGGCGGCAAGTACGGCCATGATGGCAAGCACGACGGCAAGTATGGCCACGATGGCAAGCACGGCGGTGAGTATGGACATGGCAGCGAGTCGGTCGATGACGATTCTTCGTCCAAGGCGTACGGAGGCAGCCACGGCCACGACGACAAGTACGGCCACCAGGGAAGCCACGACCACAGCGACAAGTACGGCAGCACCTCGGTCGATGACTCATCGTCGACGAGTTACGAGGGCAGCCACGGACACGGCGACAAGTACGGCCACGGCGGCAAGCACAGCTACGACGACAGCCACGCGAGCGGCTCGGTGGACGCCCCTTGCTCGTCGGACAAGTCTTCGAGCAGCGACTATAAGCACCCGCACTACCCGTCCAAGAGCCTGCGCGGCAGCAACTACGATGGTTCCGAGAGCGAGGAGGGCAGCCACGGCAGCAAGGGATACCCCCCTGCTAAGGGCCAGTACGACGTCGAGAGCGGCGACAGCAGCGCGGGCTCGGACAACAGCCACGGCAAGTACCCAGGAGACTCCACGGAGGGCTCGTACACCCAGACCGAGCCTGCCTACACGACGCCCGTCGAGGACCCGGTCGAGCAGGGATCGTACGCCCAGACCACGACTGACCCCGCGGAGCAGCAGCAGCAGCAGGGAGCCTACGGTCAGGCCACGACGCAGCCTGCCTACACGGCACCCGTCGAGCAGCAGCAACAGCAGCAGCAGCAGCAGCAGCAGCTTCCGGCTGAGGCGCTGGCGATTGCCCCGATGGAGTTCGCGTTCTAAGTCTCTCGTCCCGACGCTTTCTAGCAGCCGACAGTGGACACACTGGAACTGGCACCAGTGTTGTGCACTTGGCTGCTTGAAAAGCTGAGGCGATGAAGAGGTTGACTACGGATCCACCCTCCACACCATGCATGCAGAAACTACATTGAACGTCATGAGCCAACACGCCCGCTTCCTCCAAGTCTGGTCGCGAGGGCGACGGGGTTGCGAGGCTGGCTCATTTTGTATGTACGCTCGCGATCTTGCTGCCAACGACCTTAGTTAGCCACATGTAGATAGACAATTGTGCGTAGGGCTCAAGGTAGACGCTAGCAAGAGGACGAGCTTCATAATTACTGTTCTTTCAACAACCTTTTTCTCTTTTTTAATTTCATTATCCATTCATTCATATGCATGTGCAATATCACCTCTTAGTATCCTGCGACGTAGCGGTATCCCTTCCAGTCCCGTGGTGTTTCAAAGTTGCTCGACTTGAGCACCCCCATGAGGTACTTGCACGGCCCGTCCTGGGGTCGAATCTGCTGCGCGTGAGTGAGGTAGTGTCGAGCTTTCGGCCAGTCTCCGCTGAGGTAGGCTTCGACAGCGCTGCTGGCCGTCTCAAGGAAGGCTGGTTCTAGTCCTTCTCGGATTTCGAGGTACTCCGGGTCGTTCTCGAAGTCCACGGGTGTCTGAAGTCCCGTGGCCGGGTCGATCTTGGGCGTGCCGAAGCCAACCTTCATGACGGTGACGTCGAACGTGTACACTGTGAGCGGTGTGTCCACTCCCCGGATGCTCATGCGATCCATCTTACGCAGGAAGCGACGAGCTCCGGGCGACACAAGCGCTGCCAGCCAGTGCGAGATGTTGATGGGCGTCATGAACATCTTGGATCCAGCCTCGAGTCGGTCGGCCATCTCCACGTGCGGGGAGATGTAGGTCGCGTCGATCTTGAAGCGAGAACCGATAGCCCCTTCGACCGCCCAGCCGACATGCATGCCGAAGCCCATTTTGATGCGGAAGGCCGGGCCGAACCGCTTGACGACGGCGTCCTTCGTCAAGTACTCGGTTAGAGGCCCATCCGTGTTGGCATTGTCCAGGTCGATCATACACTTGATGAATGCCGTGAGAGCGCTGTCGGCCATCTCTGTCGGCGTGATGCGACGCAGCTTGCTGCCGGCACCGGCGTTCGGCGGGCACGTGATGGACTGGTTCACTTGGATTCGGTCCTCCTCTGTCGGCGTGTCGGTGAACCGCGAGAAGCACGCGAGCTCGCCGTCGCAGATCTTCCACGACAACAGGAAGGCGTCACCCACGTTCTTGTTGGCCATGCCGTAGTAGTGGTGCGTGCCGGTGTGCATGATGTCGCCCAGCTTGTTGACGTACACCATGACCTCTTCCTGCAGACACTCGGTCGTGTCGGTGAACTGCCGGATATCGCAGAAGCCGTAGATGGCCGTGATTTTCTTGCCCGGCAGCATCGGGTCGAGGTCTCCGGAGCCCATGTTCTTGCCGATGATGTCGGCGCCGGCCGCACCGAAGCCGACCTGCATGAGTCGGCCGACTTTCGAGAGTGTGAGCTCCAGCAACGCCGTCTCGAAGCCCTCCTCCTTGGCGTTCTTGCGAATCTGCGCATCGTCACCCGACGTCTGCACACTGGCCAGCGGGTTGTGGGCGAGCTTCTTGACGACGTCCATCATGCGCTCGATAGGGTCCAGCACGAGGATGCGAGCCGTGCGGATGAAGGACGTCGAGGCCGCGACCAGCACGATGATGATGAAGAAGGTCTTGAGGATGTTGTAGGCGGCCGAGCTGGAGCTCGACGAGGAAATGTCGAAGATGGCGATGCTCACGCACGCGCTCGTGCTGTCGGCGGCGTCTACCACGATGAAGTTCTTGTTGAAGCAGCCGTACGTCTTGACGATGTTGACCTCAACGTCTCGGTACTTGGCGGTCACGGCCGCGTAGTTGGGCAGCAAGTTGCCCACGGACCAGTCGTTTGACGGGTTTACGGTCAAGTTGTGCGGCGAGCTGGTCGACGACTGGAAGCGCAGACTCGCGATGTCGGTCACGAGCTGGCCATTGGTTACGTTGGTCATCTGCATGTATATCAGCAGACCGGCGTCGCGAACGTATCCGAAGAGAAGACGCGCGTACTCGGAGGAGGTGGCAACGCTGGGTGTAGTCATACCCGAAGACACAAGCATGTGGATGATTCGCAGTCCGTAGTCCTGGTAGCGGTACTCCACCTGGGTGTAGCCTCCGTCAAAGACCGGCAGCAACATGACGAGGAAGAGCACGAGGATCACAACGCGCTGCACCGTCACCTCGCCCATCTTGCTGCCGACTTTGCTCTCCTGGAGCTCCTCGGTCTGCTCCTTGGTGGCGTTGTTCTTCCACTTGAGGATCTTGACGACCCGGAAGAGTCGAACAGCACGCACAACGCGCACGATTCGGCCGGCCTTGCTGCCGGCTCTCGTGGCTTTGCTGGCCTTGATGGCCGACGAGCTCGTGTTGGTGCCGATGATTTGGTTCCAGATCCAGCCGATGTCCGGCAGCACGGAGAAGGTGGCGATGAGGTCGAGCAGGAAGTAGAAGCTCAGGATGTAGCCCGGTTTCGCGTAGCACGAGGCGATGAACTCGAACGAGAAGAGCACGAGGCAAATGGTGGCCAGCGCGTAGAAGCCGTTGTCTGCCGGCAGCGAGAAGGCCGACAGTCGGATGTCGTCTCCGAACAGCGCGTACACGGTCACGACCAGCATCAGCACGGTGAACCACTTGGCCTCCAGTACGGCCAGTACCGCGCGTTTACGGGCCTCGCGCAGTGCCGCCTGCGCCGGAGTCAGCGGCTTCTGAGCGCCGAGGAACGGGAACCTGCGCACGGGAGCGTTCGAGCCGTTCATCGAGTTGGTCGATGGCACCTTCTTGCTCAGACCGACGTTGGTCGGGATCTTGGGCGTCAGCGTGGCATCCGGATTCGGGTTTTTGAGCGTCACCTCGGGGGACACGCGGTGGTGCCCGCTGCCACCACCGAGCATGGTGCTGCTGCTGCGGAGTTGTCTTGTTGGCGAGGTAGTTCTTAAATTGAAGAGTGTGGGGGTGTTGCAGGTGAAGGCCAAGTCGTTTCACGCGCAACGGCTTGGTGACCAGGATTAGTCGTAGCTTTGATATTTTCGATCAAGTGAACAGTACCGTAGTAGATTCTCGACAATGCTGAAGCGTTTGTGCAAGGACCAGCGATGGTAGACGTGACCCCGCCGTCGTATCAGACGAGTGAGGACCTCAACTCAACTCAAGTGTTGAAGTTCAAAGTGTATGTATCCGCCCATCGAAACCAAACCCAGCTCGACGGCATAAGTCTCCACGCTTGTACATACCTTGTTTGTGTTTGTATTCGTTAGTCGTCGTTGTGTGGGCTGCACGATAGAAAAAGCTCGAATAGCGCGAGTTCAAACGAAATATCACTTTTGGAGCACGCGTACTGTATTGTATGAAGGATGCCTCACGCGAGTTGATTAATGGTTTGCAATACTAGCGTAAAACTTAAATTCGTCCTAACTAAGCCATGCCACTCCAACACCGGCGATGAATAGCAGGATGGTCGCGATGATGAAGAACTTCTCCTGCTTGGAGCTGTTGGCCGAGAGCCTCGCGAAGTACGCGCGCAGCTTGCCCGAGCCCTTCTCTGACAGCGTCGCCTTCTCCAATGCCTTGACCGCGCTGGGACTCTTCTGCAGATTCTCGGCCTTCTGTGCGAGACCCGGGTTGGTCTTGAACAGGCTCGTCACGCGGTTTGCCAGCTTTTCCAGGCCCAGAATTCTCTCTTCCTCCTCCGCGACTGTGCCCCTGAGGCGGCGACGAGTGATGGCACTGTCGACTGGGGCCTCGACAGCGTCAGCCTGCAGAGCGTTCACCTTAACGACACTCTCAGCGCTGGCGATTCCATTGCAACACGCAAGCAGCGCGAGCAGAACGAAGACGAAGACGGCACGCATTGGTCCAGTATGTCGATCTGGCCGATGTCGCGCTAAATGTGAAATGGCGAGGGAGTGGGTTGCTCACTGCCTAGCCACGATGTGGATTGCGAACAACAGGCCAAATCGCTTCTGTGCCTCATCAAGAGTGTTGAAATTTATGGGTCGACCTACTTTTGTGCTGTAAGTGACGACTACACCAGTCGAAAATGCACGATCTGTTGCAACGAGCAGATCACACATTTATCTCAGTGCGCATACCATAAGCCAGTAAAAGTGATGGGCGCGTCCGGCTTTGTTGCGCTGGGCGGCACTAGACTTGCACTGCAAGTCTTGCAGTGCCAGAATGAGGTGCACCGGTGTTCTTGCAGAAAAGCGTTACGGAAAGCCCTGACGGCAGTGGAGGTTGTGGCACTGTGGAGGACTAAGCGATAATGCTGCCAACAACACTCACAATATGGTAGACGTCTTCGGTGCGCGTGCACCAGAGGACAGTGTCGCCGACACGGTCACGACACGGTGTCGGGTCCCCTCCGCGGTACATCGATTGTGTGGACAGGTTATGTTTCTTCATAAACGTAGGATGTACATTTCAAAACATAAAATACAGCAATATGGATAAATATCGTGACGGTGCCGACACAATTGTTTTACTTGATTTAAGTATAGGCAGACTGACCGCAATGCATGTATATTGACCAATGACATCTAGAAATACCCAATATCGGCCAATGAGCTTGATTAGGTGTAGGGTAAAACGATGCCGACGCCGTGCCGACGTATAATGTAGGCACGGGGGCGAAAATATGCAGGGCGTCAATACGAGCCACCAGTCTACTGCTCATCCCTCGAATATCTGCCCTCTTGCCGACAGAACACTCGGAACCAGTATGAGCCTCCAAGACCTCGCCCCCGTCAACTCCCAGCGCGCTCTACAAACCGCAATCAACGCCTTCGGACGCTTCGTCGCGGCCCAAGGCGTCTCCATGGACTTCATCGCTGCCTCTCTCGCAGATGATGAGAGTGGGGCTGTGTTTGTGAAGCTCATGGACCGCTTTGGCGTTCACCTCGCCTTCGTCGAAGGCCGAGGAGGGAAGCCGCTGGCCACGAACTCGGTCATGAGCTACTACCGCCATATAAAGAACTGGCTGCTCGACACCTACCCGACCCACCGAGCCACCATCGAGAAGAAACTACTCAAGATGGGACAGACGCTCGAGTGCCATTGTCTGAAGCGCATCGAAGGTAGAATGGTCAAGAAGGCGCATGCCTGCACGAAGGAAGACCTACGAATTCTCATGGACGGACGGACTCTACTATGATGCCACCAGCCCCAAGGACTACCAAGATGCCGCGTTACTGGCGCTGATGTGGTACGCTTTTGGCCGCGCCTCAGACCTGGGGTTCGTGGTGAAGGGAAACCTGTCTGTGAGTGCGGATGGCGTTGTGTTCGTCCGGCTCATCCGCGTGAAGACTTCAGACGAGCAGGGCATCTCTCTCTTTCCCGACAAGAACAGCTTCATCACGTGCCCCCTGCATGCGATTGCGATGGCCCTGGTGATGCAGGACGCTCCGTGCGCACAGCTGCTGGATCATCCGCACCATGCCGCAAGCTGCGACGAGAGTATGACAGCCCCTGTTGACGTGCCACTAGCTGAAGCTCTTGTTGCCTGTGAGAACGACGACACGCCAAGTGAGCCGCATCAGAAAAAGCGTAAACTACCTGAAGAAAACATGAAGATCCACGCCTACGTGAACCGCGTTGTCAAGACAGCGGCTGCCGCTCAAGCTACAGCGGTGCCAACTGTAAACTTGACGTCTCACTCGTTTCGACGTGGTGGGGCTCAGCATGCAAACGGTGATCCACTGCTCAGTGCTCAGTGGATTTTCGATCGTGGTTCGTGGAACATGACGGCTACCAACAAGGCTTTCGCTTACGTGTTCAACACAACCAGTGAAGACCAGAAAGTAGCACGTGTTCTCAGCGGGTGGGACTCGAGCAAGAAGCCACCGGTTCCAACCCTCTCCTGGTTTGACTCCGCCAGCCGGCAGCAGGCACTGAGCTTGGGAAATCTTCTTTTCCAGCCAAGCGTGAGCCCCGAGAAGAAGCTCAACGCCCGCGTCGCTGAAATTCTAACTGCCGCGCAGATCCAGCATTTTCCCGAGGTACTCGAGCGCTACCCGATGTGCCCGTACGCTACCCGGATGCGCGAATGCCTGATGGTGTTGGGTTTACCAAAAGCTCAAGTTCTCGCGTGGAGCTCTGAACTACAGGCGAAGGTGGCACAAAAGGATCTGGAGGAATCTCAAGACGACGCGGAGGCATTCACAAGAGAAGAAAAGCTGATCAATCACCAGAACTGCATCATCGGCGAGCTGATAGCCATGAATCGAGCCTTGACCGAGCGGGTCACCCAACTGGAGAGTCAGCGCGACGTTGGTCAGGGTGACTCCTCCACACGTTTGCCGGCACCGGTGGTGGCACCACAATCGCATTGCGAGGATTCCGCTACTGTATCGAAGTCGTGTGGAAGCAAGGCTCTCTCGAAAGGCCCAGCGGCTATTTGGTTTGAGTGGTACGCAAAAACAGCACGTATGTGGGACGTGTGTGCGGATCGGCAGAAAAAATCAGCGTACAAGGACACCGTGAACTACATGAAGCTCTTCTTACCAAACGGCTTCGCGCTGGACCCGTCGGTCCCTGACTACACCGACCAAGTTGTTCGTACCGGAATTGAGGCCGAAGCCGGGATGTACAGATTTTTCGAAGAGTACGGAGTCAAGAGCAAACGTGGATCAGCTGCACTCAAGCAACTGCGCAAGTTTTTCCGGGAAAGCAAGCTCAACTCTCTAGTAGACGCGTACCGTGCTCGCGTTGCTGTCGCTGGCGTAACGGACCCAGCGCCCAAGGAAACGTAAGAGCTGTTTACACGGAAGTAGTTGAGTTATAGTTTCTAACGTGGGGCTATAATAAATGTTCTGCACCGCTACACATTACATGTATAGCGTACAGCATGTAGTGCGCGTTTGACTTTCGTACGCAACTGCTGGAACGCCACAGAGCTTCATAATATCGATCTACTCTTAATCAGCTCATGCATTTGACAACATCTTGCACTGCAGCCGAGGCGGTGTGCTACCACTCTGAATCTTTACTGTAGCCATTTTAATAGTAAAAAATAAGAGTGTTCCTGTCTTAAAGGATATTTTATGATTACCCAGAGGTTGCAGATTAAACAACGGTTTTGTGTAAAAGCAGGATTTTATTGTTGGTAGTTAATCGGCTCGACCGCGTAAACAAAGCCCAGATCAGCAAAGAAGTGGCGTAATCCGTCTTCGGTACTTGGCTTGTAGGCGAGCTCGTCCGAGTCGATGAAGTTGTGCTTGTTGCCCACCGCCGCGCGAGCGATGCAGTGCCAGGTACCCTCTTCTTGGCCAAAGGGCCTACCGATGATCACAAGGTGCCTAAAACTAGACCTAGGAATCTTCTTGAACCACCTTTGCGAACTGCAGTTGAACGTGTTGGTACTGTTCAGGTACCGCAGCTGATAGCCCTTGGCGCGAAGCGCTTCATGCAGTGCTTGCATAGAATACGCCTCGTACTTCTCATCGCCATGGGGGGCTGGCCCTTCTTCCTCGGGTGCAGCCGCGTTAAGACGACGCACGATTGGCACCAAATCCTCGACGGTTAAAAAAACCCGGGTTTGCACCGCATTGTTGATCGAGTACAATCCACAGAGAGAATATCTCTCGGATGTACCGCTCTGATTCTCACACATTGGACCGCCCCTAGTCCGTCTACCCACAATGGATTGCATCTCTGTTCGTGGAAGGTCTAACAAATCGCCGGACGTGAAGAGAGACGCGCACCAAAAAAACTCCCCACTCTTACTTAGCACTGACGTGAAATCGCTAGCAAATCGCCGGCGGGGTGAGCGCAAAAGCAAAAGTGAGAAGGACTGCATCGCTGCATCGAAGGCGACGAGCGCTAACCAACCGTGTAAATTTCAATGCTTTTAATACAGTACAGCCAGATGAACTCTCGAAAAATGAGAAATGTATTGCATTTTTGTATGTTACGCAGCGCTAATGCTGCAGTTTTAATAACCAACATGCAAACGCTTAAGTTGGTAATAGCGGTAGAATTGCAGGTGTCAGGCTGTTACTGCCTGACACCTGCAATCCAGGATTTGCTCTGGCACTGCTGGAGCAGTGGCGCATTTGATTGCTAACCGCCTGGGCACCATGCCCGATGTGCATGATGTGTCTGCTTTTTTTAGCCAATCCCAGCTTGTAGGCACTCTGTCGGCCGATGTCGGCACCGTCATGGTATGGTCAAGGAGAACATTCCACCGAGCGATTTTGGCCTGCATGCGTGATGCACGGTGAATCACCCAGCGGACGCTACCGAAATCGTTAAACAGATTGGTAGAGAGAGCGCCACCACCAAAATGCCGGCGTACACGCCACATTAGCAAGCAGCCTGCAAGCCAAGGGACGCGGAGCGCTACGGCATATTCTATTACCGTACTTCACACAATAAATGTTTAACAAAAATACAGAAGGTGGCGCCTTAGAGGGACGGCATATAACTGATCACCTCTAATAACTACTATCAATTCATAGGGTTGCATACTAATCCTTTATACCCCTCCCAATACTAAAATCCCCGTCTATGATGAATATATCAGGTGTCTCTCTAAGGCGCAACCCTCTGTACTGCAGTTTTACTGGGATTGGAAGCAACGTTAGTACACCATTTCACCTTCAATGTGGCGAAAAGTAAAACAAAAACGTCAAAATGTAAGCAAAAAAGCGGTCGCTCACCGTGGGGCTCGAACCCACGACCACAAGATTAAGAGTCTTGCGCTCTACCGACTGAGTAAGCAAAACAAGACAATCGACAAAAATGATATTATAACAAGTATGAGAGGGATACAATTCATAGCGCTCAAAGGGCGCGAAGCGCTCCCGCCAAAACCACTGGGCAGCACAGTGACACGCTTGCATATACGAGCTCACTGGAGCTCATTCTGCATTTTGCAGCCTAGCCTACAAGCCCAACAAGTCCTTCGCCCCACCACCTCCCCCACGCAATGATCTACGACGAAGCTACCGTCCTGTGCGTCCTCGGCGCTGCTCGCGACGACCACGACTGGCAGGCAGTTGCCATCAACAACAACGTCAACCTCCGGACTGCTTACCGGTGGATTGCTGCGGCTCGCGCAGCAGATGCGTAGGAGCGTTCGCCTCGTCGCGTCCGTGGCGGTAGGTGCACCAGCAAGCTCGACTCCGTCCATGTGGACTACCTGGCGACCCTGCTCGATGCCAACTACTGGAAGAGATGAACGACGCGCTCGATGCGCGCTTCTCGCTGCGGGTGACGCGCCAAACCATCAAGCGTCATCTCGACGCACGCAGGTACACGGTCAAGCAAACCCACCGCGACAACAATTACCGCAACCTCGCCCATAAGAAGTCGCTGCGTCAGCGCTACGTCATCGACCTTCTCAGCTACAAGTCACAAGGTAAGAAAATCTTTTACGTGGATGAGACTAACTTTAATCTGTGGCGTTCCCGACGTCGCGGCCGCAGCCTCCGAGGAACGCGCGCTGTTGACCGGAACACGGCGAGCAAGGGATCGAACATCCACGTGATCGCCTGCATCTCCGAGGACGGGTTTGTGTACACCGAGAAGCGGTTCGGCTCGTTTACGCCTGAGCGATGTGGTGTAGGAAACATCAAGTTTTGTGTCACACTCCAAGGCTGCAGTGGAACAACGTACCAGGAGCCAAGTACTACTCGGCGGGATGACCGTCCGCCGAGCTCAGTGGGCAAGAATGCGCTGATGGACAGCTGAATTCGGCTGATGGTGTCAGAAACTCAAGGCACACCGACCCCGACCTAGTGACACGTGGCAGGCCCAGTGATGAAGACCCAGCCGAGTTCAGGAAGGCACTGGACACGCTCAGCCGAGATCATGGGAAGTTCAAGCCGCCGAGCTCGGCTAAACGGTACCATGTACCGTCCGATACGGAAACCAGGAAAAGTCTCGCCACCGCTGCGAGCCGGTGTTCCCGTACGTCCCGGGCACTGATTGCCGAGTCGAGAAGCCTTTGCTCTCGGCGACCCGTAAAAGCCCGCGAGGGCCGTCGTCTGTCCTTTGGTGGAGGGCACGGAATTTCTAATTCCGGAGTCAGGTAACTCAGCTGGCTTCCGTGATTGACTGGCTTGAGGTACTTGGTCTCGGCGAGGACGAGACATCACTGTCCCGGAAGGGCCGAACCGCTGGGGGACACCTCAGCGCAGGCCAACAAGGACCGACTAGCTCGGCCGTTGTTGTGTTTGTAGCTAGGGTGCCACATCGGACGATTTTGTGCGTGCTACTACACCACAACGGGTGCCGCAACCCGGGAGCAGTGTGGTTTGTTTTCGTTGGTACCAAGGCAACCAAGTTTCGAGTACTGAGCAAGATGGTCAAGGGGATATCGTTGCCGAGCTGGGCCAGCCCAGCGACGGCTGGGGGTTCGCTTCACACGAAGCCGAACTCAGCTGGCGAAAGGATCGCCGACATGACGATGGAAGCGGTCCCAACCGTTCGGTTTGGCGACGACCGCACCCAAGACCGAGGAAGCAGGTGAGGTCTAAGGCTTTTGCACCAAAGTGATGATCCGCCGATTCAGTGAAGACAGTAGGCTGGGTCGAGTCGAAGGATGATACTGCGTCAACTGTATGGATTATACGGATTACATGATATCGGAATGGAGTGAGCGAAGATGGAGCTGGAAAGCAAGAAGCCCGTTCGACGGGTTAGCGTTGGAGTCGGCGCGGCTGCCACAACCACCAGGCTGGTGGAATCCGCATCTCGGATCGAAGTCTCAGCCGAGTTGCCGAGCTGAGCGATTGAGCCCAGCTGGTCTGACGACGACCCAGTGAAGAAGCAGAGGGAGGTGATGGTGCGTCTGCACAGATTGAGCGAGTCAGCCGTCGATGCCGAAGCTGTGTTGACTCGTCACTGGGTCCGTGAACACGCTACCCACTGGGGCACTGTGTGTGATATGCGGCGGTACGATCGACACCCTTGGGTACGACCGCCGGGACCTCCGACCAAGTCGGTGAACGATCTTCCCATTGTGCGCTCAAGCTGAGTTGGAGCGCAGGTGTGCTGACGCGAAGCTGTGCTGATATGGAGCCGCGCTCAAGCAGGAAAGCCGAAGCGAAGTCGAGACGCACGATGTTCCAGTCAGGCCGTAATCACACCATGTTTACCGAGAGGCGACTAGCCGAGTCGGTCGATGCGCGGCGGCGCTGAACAAACCCAAGTTGCAGCAAAGCTGGACTTGAGCAAAGCTCAGCGGAGGCACGCTGGGCAGTCGCTTCGCCGAGAATGTCGACGTGCCAGCGATCTCGAACGGGGGGGGGGGGGGGGGCCAATTTATCCCTAACTGAACAAAAACAAACCCCTGCTTTGAAGATGGACTCCGACTTCAATCGATCCGACGTAGGGCTACCACCGAGTTTAACTGCGGTCAGCCTGAAGCCGAGTCGGTGAAATCGCCGAGTCACGGCGTCGCAAAAGTGTACCAAGCATCCAAAGCTGGACTGAAGAGGAATGGATTCCACGCGGCCGCGGTCGTATTCACATTGAGCCAACATGAGCAGAGCTTGGTCAGGGGTCGTGCATAGCCGAGTCGAAACACCCCTTCAAAGCGCTGATACTTCCGCTAAGGGACTGAGCTGGTCAGGCAGCCAGCTGTGTCGTTCGCTCAGCCGAGCTTGCCTATCACCTTGCTCAACTGGGCTAAGCTGAAGCGGAATCAATGTCAGGTGGACATGAGTCGAGCTAGACCCGGGTTGATTCGTGGCAGAGCCACAGAACACGGGGATCAAGTGACGACTAGTCGAATTGCAGCAGAGGTTTGTCTTGAATCCGAGCTGAATCGGGATCAGGTACAAGTGCAGCCGAGGTCAGAGCCAACTGAGTTGAACCTCAGTCAGGCTGAAGCCGAGATACGTTCGAACAGAGCCGAGTTGAAGCGAGACAGTGCCCTCTGCGTGGAAGTAGTTTGACACCGAGATGTCGTGAAGCCAAGTTCAACCAAGCCGGAACGGAGCCGAGTTCGAGCAACGCTGCGAAGAAGCGCTGGTCGTTGGAGTGGAGCCGATTGAAGAGCAACCTTGCTGAAGCAAAGCCACGATCAAGTTGGGCCGCCTCGCGTCCAGTTCCAGTGGGAACGCATACATCTCGGTCTTGTGCCCAGTTCTCGTCGGATTCCAGCCGAGACAAAGTAGGTCGAGCCGACGCTATGCGCAGCCGAGTCCGAGCAGAGCTGAGCTGAAGCGAGACCGAGATCACGCTGCGTCCTAATGTGGTCACGTTCGCACTGGGTTGCTGCGAAGCCGAGAACATTGGAGTACGATCAAGCTGGAATGGGATGCCGAGTTCCAGTAGTGACGCGTGTTGGATGGCACCTAATCTGAAGTGTACTCACTTCAACGGAAGGAAACACTGGGCTGAGTTCCGGTACGCCGAGTTTCAGTTAGATCGCGTTCGGAAGTTCGCCGAGTTGAGTGCTGGTAAACGCACCATGTTCCGATTGGAGAGCGCTCATGCCGAGTTCGAGGTGTAGCCGACCTGAGGCTGAACACGCTTCACAGCTGAACCGAAGAGACCGAATTCAAATTGAGTTTGAACACAGCCGAGCTCGCGGCGAGCCGAGTTGGAATGTGACCGAATGAAGTGCTGTTCCAGTCGAGCTTGCCCACCACCTTCCCAACCAAGCTGAGCCCAGTCGGGGTAAACTGGTCTAACAGAGCGGGAGACATGCCGAAGTCAAGGTCCGTTGACCACTGAACCCAGCTCGGCCCGTTCAGAACAACTCGACTGGAGCATCAAACGCATCAGGATCGCCTTGTTCGGCTATATAATGACACAGCAACGGTGAGAGCTAACTCAACGCACCAAACTGAGTGGGGAAACACTTACCAGGCTAGTTGAGTCGATCAAGCGGAGGTTGTCTTCAAGTCCAGCCGAGTTCAAGGTCAGCGGATAGCAGCTAGTCGTCAGGACAGCCGAGTTCGGACACAGCTGAGTTCAACTTGCTGCTGCACTTCTCGCCAATAAGCTCGGCTGGGTTGGATTTCGAGCTCAGCGCGGCCCGATCGGGGAAGCATTTCTTGACCCGCCGAGTTCCTGGTGCCTTGTAGCATGCCAAGGCAACTATCAGGCTCCACTCGACGCACCGAAACGAGAGGCACGTGCTTTCCTGGTCAGCCGAGTCGCTGGCAACATCCATGGCTGCTCATTTTGACGGAGACAGCGATGCTCGGCTTCGTCGGTATTGCAGCCAATCGAGCCCTTCCCCAACACCTGCATCACCTACTCGCTTTGCTGCGGCAGGCCCAACATCACCGCTAGTACTCCGAGCTTCGACAGGGGCACCAGCTGGCTTCGTATGGTTCAGTCCCTGCTACCAGCTGCCACGCCGAGACGACCATCTAGACTGATTCGCTGCTGAAGTGATCCGACGACGGGGTTTGGTGCGAGCGATAGGGGCATCTACATGTGTACAGACCCATGAGGCGCCAGCATAAGCTCAAAACTCGAATTTAAAGCCAAAAACTTACTATACAATTAAACACCCATATTTTTATTGTTGGCGATATTGTATGTGGTGTGTTTAATAGCGCAAAAAATATAACCCCACATATTTCCTTTTTTTAAGTGTTGGGATTTAAATTCTAGGTTGAAGTGAAGATGCATGGTATGAACCTCTGCAAGTAGCTAGCGCATTCCTCTTGTCACCTCCTACTGCTTACCTGCTTCAGTTGCCACCCTTGGTTTTTTGCGCTTGTTCTTGGGCTTTGGTCTCAGCTTGAGGCCACGCTTGCCCAGCTCTGGTGGTTCCGACTGGATTGGCGGCTGTATCCTTGTTGAGACGCACGTTGGTCGGCCATGGTCGAAATGCTGCGGTGTACGAGTCCTTGAAGTGCTGAATGGACATGCGCTCAGCATCGTACAACGATTCGAGCCGCTGGTCGTCTTTAGCTGCTGCAGGGATGGCGTGGACACAAGGAAACACCATATCCTGCCAGTTTCCACACGTACACTCTTTGGCGGGCAAATCCAGGAGACGCCAAGGGTAAATTGTCACTGGTTGAACCACTGGGCCAAGATACAAGACGTTGTACGCGCCTTCCATGCACGGCGTGACCTTGCACTTGTCGCTCGCAATGGTCAGCTTGTGTCGCGCGCTAGCCAACTCCGACACCAAGTCGGTTCCAGGACTCTTGACCAACCAGTTTGCAGCCAATTGTCTCTTGTCGGAGACCAGCTCGCTCAACTTCCTGAAGTATAGAGCGAAAGCCTCGAGCGGCTTTGCGCTCCTGCACTCGTTTCCAATCCAGCTGTTGACCTACTCAGCTAAGTTGGAAGTGGTCTCGTTGTAAGTCGGGAGGCCGAACGCTTCTTGGTACTTGTATTTCACCCAGTGTTTTTTGTCGATCCCCTGCAGGTACGTCACTGCGGCCGGCTTGGTCCTTGCAAGCTCCTTGTCAAAAAAACTTGTAGTCATTCTCGCAGTCGCTCCTGGCCATATCGTTTATCAGCCCACGTTCCTATCCCGTGAGCGAGATACCTTTGCTGTTGATGTTTGTCTCGATGTGTCGAAGGCAGAAACGGTGCCCGGCTTGAGGAAACACGTCCGCGACGGCAGGCAAAGGACCCTTCTGGCGATCGGACAGAACCGTGAAGCGAATCATCTTCTCTAATACTTCCTTGACGACTCCAAGAAACCACATCCAGTGGTCGTAGTTCTACGAGAGAAAACGCGAACGGCAGAATGTGGTCGTTGTAGTCCTTCGCCGTTGCAACCAAAAACACGCCGAAGTTGTTCATTTCACCCTTGAGGTGGGCGCCATCCACACTCAACAATCGTTTAGCCATCCGAGCGACCCGGATCCCAATGTTTGGGATAAAACACGCCCGAACGAAAGTCCCGTCGCTTGCTTTCTCAAAGCGCCAGATCGAGCCTAGGTTTTTCTCCGCCATCAACTTCAAGTAGCTCTCCAGCTTCTGGTAGCTGACTCGGCGTTCAATGCTGTTGGCGTCGTCGACCGTGCGCTTGATGCGAAATATGGCGGATGCACCGAGCTTGTAGCCTTTCGTGCATCTCCACCGGTCAACAAAATTTTTGGCAATAACGATTTTTGTCAAAACTTTTGCGAAAATAGGTTCAGCAGGCTTCACACCGGGTCAAAAATCTTGGCAATTCGTTGGCAATTCTTGTTGGAGTCCGGATTTGGACAAAGACACTGACATAATTGCTGGTGTTTTTGTTGGTGGCAAAGCGCCAAGAGGATCATTTACGCGAAATGGTGTGCAAACACACCAACGCTCACTGGTCTGGCCGAAGGCGCTGAGCGCCACGTTCGCGGCAATAGCGCCCTTGTAGCGCAAGTTCGGTAGCGCTGCTGTGTCTTATCACCTTCCCTAGACTATGATATACATGGGGAACGCTGTATGTCTTCATAGTTTGGCGTGTGGACCTCAAAATCGCTCGCTCTGTGTGTTGTCCCGGGGGCCGGGCAGCACTGTGGTGGAGTTTTTGTTGTTGGAGTTGTGTTGGTGACTGGTGTGGCTGTCGTCGAAATGGTACAGAAAATCTCAACAAACCCATAGGCTTTGCCGTTTGCTTTGCCCAAAAAAAGCCAACACCGGTGGAGATGCTCTTACCGAGCAAGAAGTCTGCAATGGCACGACCCGTCATCCCGTCAGTCCTCCCTTCGTACATCGGAACCATCTCGGGCTCGATCAGTCGGACGAGGTCGAACAGGCTCCGCGTTCTGTTACGCATGTCCTTGACGGGGCGAGGGACAGAGCCTTCAGCCACTGGGAGGCTTGAAAAACCCACGTATTTGATGTGGTTGTGGCAGAAGTTGGTGCGGGTCACCTTCCAAAACCCATCGAACCCACACACGTTGAACGAGAAAGGACACACGATGTCTTCACTCCTTGCATCTTGGTCAAAAAACGGTTGGCTGTTCAGCTTCTTGCACACGTACTTCGCGTTACCGACGCCGTTCCGCTTGCTGCTGAAGCTCTCCACCTTGAGCTGGAAACCGAATGCCTGGGCAAACTCTTTGCATCGTGCTTGGATTGCTTTCTGGGAGCCGTGATATTCGCCTGCAAAGTTGTCGCAACGGTCGTAAGCGACGCCGTAGTCGTCTTGACTTGGGTCGGTTTGCTGGACAACCAAACTGTCGCGAAGCAGGCCCATCAACTTTGCTGCCGCTAGGTCAGCAGCCACAAGTGAAAAACAGGACGTCACCGTAGACCTTCTTCGCTTTACGTGGGACCATCCTCTGATTGAGCGAGTTGAAAGTTGCCAAGTTGCTTTGCGTGGGTAAGAGTGAAAATAACGCTGACGTGAATGCACGGCTCGCGCGAATCTGAGCGGAAAGAATGCCACCCAGCCCTCATAAGACAGCGAAGATCTTTCCTACGTTCTCCCTGTAATATAACAGCCTATATATGCATATTCGCACAATATCTATACCGCAACTGCAGCACAAGAACCTGTTGATGTGATAGTGCCAGGAATTACTATTAATATATAAAATAGTGGTTTTTCTGGGATAGGAGTAACCCCGGAGGGAATGCTGTGGTCAGCACAACACAGATTAATTAGGCGGCACCTCGGTAACTGAAGCCGGTATTACTGAAGCCGAAAAACTGGCCCCGGTAACTGAAGTTAACTGAATATCGCCTATGCTCTCCATCAATCTCAAGTCCGAGACAAGCTCGAGAGTGATGGAGAGCATTTCGAAAATTCCGTAGTTGTTGCATGTGGACATGAGTGCTGCGAGGAATCGTCAGCGCTGCTCGGCACCACGTCGCTGATGAGCGATGTTCTTCTTGTTGCCGTAGCTCCTCCCCCCAGCAGCAGCGAGCCCACCCCGGAACTGGTGCCGACGCAGACATTGTCAACTCAAGGAGCGTCAGCTAATCATGTAGCCGTCAGGCCGACGGTCGGCCTCTCAAACGACAGCATAGATGAAAACTATTTGTCGACCTGGTGTGGCAGCGTGCGGGAGCTCGTCCATCTACAGTACAAGAGCAAGAAATTTAACCCACCGGCGACCGCTCTTATCCCGATTTTGCAGGGATAAGATTAATATAGAAATTTGTATACTGGTGGGATAGGGTAAGCGAGGTCCCCAGCGGCCTGCCCCGACTCTTCGGGTTCCATCGGCTGTCAATCTCATTGGTCAGAGTTATCCAATCAAAGCTTGGATACGGCCGTAATATTAAGCTCTGTCGAGATTTCGATCGAAAAACCTTGGCGTAATTCACAGGATAATGCGAACATTCGCTAAGTGAGTGAATTGTTCTGAGCTGAATATCGCGGTTGATGGACGTGCTCGGCAATCGCTGTGACACTATCCCAGGGCAAGCACGGCACGGCACATGAGGGACGCCTTCTACTCCAACGACGAGACGTACGAGGCACAACCGAAAGCAGAACAACTCAATCTCGGTACGCTGCTCACTCTAGCCAGCCTGTTGCCCCATTTGCTGACGTGTTTCTCGACTGCAGGCGAGGCGAGCGCTGGCGGCACAAGCCCCCCATTCCATCGGCAGTACACCCGCCTGACTTCCTCCTTCCTCTTCGCCATGCAGGGCTACGGCTACTCGCAGTACCAGGCGCACTCGCCGCACCACCAGCGCAGCGGCGAACTTCCCAAGCTCTACTACAAATCCCTGGACCACGGCACCGATAGCGGCGGCTTCAATGACCCGGCGTGCATGAATTCCAGCAGCACGTGAACCCGAACAGCATGCAGGCCCCGCACCAGGCCCGACGCCGCAGCAGGGGGACTTCGACTACGAGCCCATCAGCACCCAGGCAAATACTACGCGCTGTCGCCCAAGGCCTATCGATACAAATGGGGCGGCTCTCAGAGCCGCTCTGTTGGGCTGCGGTCATAGGTCAGCCCACACGGACAAACGTTCGCGTGAGGCGCCCTAAATGAAGGAGAAGAAGCGCGTGCTCAAGCTAAACGATGGCATCAACCATCACAAGACGCTGCAGGACGAGGCCGGACGATCAAGCAGTCCATCGTGTGATCTTGAATCAGAGTGCGGAGCGCGCCTAAAAGCAGGCGGATCGCCGAGGACCAAAATGGTGGTGGCTAAGGCGGTGGCGTCAGCGATGAGGGCTATAATACCCAATGGTGCTGCCAAAACAGGCTCTCACTGCAACAGCAGCCTTTGCAGGTGGATGCAGTGAGTATGTGTTTTAGTGTAAGGGTCTAGTATAAAATAAAATAAAGGCATTCCATAGAATTGAGCGACAGTCAAAATCAACCTGCCAAAAGTCGCGGTCGCTCCTCAGTGGTACAGTACACATCGTGTGGGGGGAGATCTTTTCCGAGAAGATCATGGCCGACGCAAGTATGTACACCGACGACACGGCGGCCGACAGCAGCAGCACTGTGGGCGGCAGCAGCAGCGATGACGGCGAACGATCGAACCAACAGGAGCTCACAGCGCGAGGGCGTACCGAGAGCCAAGGGCAGCTCAGCGATCAAGATACCGACTTAGACCACTCCTCCTACTTTGTTCTCTCGGACCCTAACTACACCTACGAGGCTGTCCCGGTGCGCATGTATGTCCAACTTGTGGTGGCTATTTGATATCTAACCGTCCTGCTTGCATACAACAGGCTTTCACGCCGGATGTCAACCGAACAGCATCAAACAACAAGAAAATTTATGGCAAGCCGATGTCTGTAGGGGAGGTACGTGCACGTATCTTTGGTGTTTCAGTGGGCGTCACGGTGGCTCAATTCCGATGTATGCCTAGACGTTGGAGAGATTTCAATGGCACCAGGGGTTCCTTGACTTTCACACCCTCCAGCCAGTACGCAAACCTTCACGCGACCGGGTGGGTATGCGAATTACTTGAGTTCTGTGGCGTAGTCTAACAAATGTTATTATGCAACAGGTTTACGAGCCTAGATTCAGGTCTACCAACCATGTAGGCGCATTTCTAGCCGCCCTTCCGCTCTACGAGATGTATGCGCAGTTTCAGAATGACGAAGACTCGAGTCACATCTACGCGTGGTTGCAAGCGTCCCTGAAAGCCTCGAAGGTATTTCACGCGTTCTGTGGTGCCAGGTGTACTCCCAACGCTAACGTGCCATTGATCTCTGTGTAGATAACGCTGACTATGATAAAGCGTCGACAGCGCCTGTGCGAGTGGGATATTGAACGCTTAGACGCTTTTCTCGATTCCCATGTTGAACACCATATCGCCATGGAGGCAGATGAATCATACGACGAGAATGCTATCCGGGAGCATACCAAGGAGGGTTTTTTCAAAGAGCTCGAGTATAAAGCTCGAGTCCAAGAAGCCGCTGCGCTCAAGTGGCTTGCTGTCTGGACGTATCAAACCGAGGTCATGTTTCCTCGTCTTGGGGTATCGTTGAGACGCTAGTACGTCGGAAAGTGCTAAGCCCAGCTTCACAGAAGTATACATATTTTGTTAGCGATGCTCAGATGTAATGAAGAAGCCCATGCCTGCATATATTCCGTCATCGCTTTCTTATTGTAGCATAGATCTCAACGTTGACAACCAGCTTGACCGCCGTCGAGTCAAAGCTGGCTTCGCTCTCCCTCACAGGCGTATTTGAATTTAAGTTTGTATGGCAGATGTCAAGATTGACTTCGCAGTGAAACATAGATCTCAACGTTGACAACCAGCTTGACCGCCGTCGAGTCAAAGCTGGCTTCGCTCTCTCTTACAGGCGTATTTTGTCAAGATCGACTTCGCAGTGAAATATTGACTCCCACCTAATTATCCGACTCATTCTGCTGCTCGGCCCCGCTGAGCGTACATTCCACCGCGCCGAGCAGCTCCGCCAGCACTTCCGCCACGGCCTCCCGCTCGCTCTCATCCGGGGGCCTCTCAGTCGCAGTTACTCCTTCTTCATCCTGTCCTTCTGCATCTGCGCCTGGCCGTTCTGGCTGATGCACTTGTACCTCTACGTTACGCGTGACACTTGGAACCGGTAACTGCGAAGATGACACCGAAGCAGCCCCATCGGCATTCTGAACATCGGTCTCGTATTGCCTTGGCAGTACAGCATCCGAGGAAGCTGTGTCCATCGTTTCCGCGCGTAACTCCTCCTTCGACCGACGCATTCGGATCCGTCCGACCTTTTCAGACTGCGGAAGTTGATCTCCGTTCTTCCACTTCGAGTGCCAAATGTTAAAGCACGATACAGAATTACCATCGGATACGTGTCGCGCCTTGGAACACAAAAACAGCTTCCTCGATCAGTGGAGCACTGCTTGCAGTAATGACGCGTTGGGCCGGGAGGTCGATTCGATCCAGGACTGCCAGCACCACGCAGTACCGAACAAACTTTGCACACGCGAAACTTGAATTTGCCCTTCGATGTCTTGTCCGTCGACACCATCAATTGATGCTTCGAGCTTGCTAGCGAGTACGCCGTCGAAACTGGTGTCTGGTTAGATCTTGGCTCCACCTCGGTAACAGCGGCTTCGGCGACTGGCACCGTGTCCACGAAGTCATCATCTCCGAGAGCGAGTAGCTCCTCGTGTAGCTGAATGAGAAAATCCGCGTGTGAAAGAGGTTTTTCCCCCACCGACTTCGCTTACTCACGGTGGGTGATAAAAGCGTTAATAACAGCTATGTCGAGAAGCCCGTAGAAAACAGTCTTGTAGTATTTCTTCGGTCGCATGACTGTTTGGATGGAGTACCTAGTCAAAAGCATTTTCAGCGTAAGTGATGGGCGGCAGAACCGCAACAGAGCAACACGTACCTTTGCAGGCGTAACTGGTCGTGACTGTCAACACCCCCCATGTACTTGTTGTACAATACCACAAACTCCGGACACGGAATGTTTGCCTGTGAGCCGTCCTTTTGCTTCCTCCGCACTATCGCACGTCTAGCGGAGGCCCCAGTCGCCACAAAGTAGCAAATTTTCGAGTCAACCCACCGCGTCGAGTACATTTGACGATTCGTATTGTTCCGAGCACGAATGTATGAGCCGCGCGGCATCCCTCTCAAAGCTGTTTTTTGTCGGTCTTCAATTCTTCGGGGATACCAAGACGCGTCGTAGAAACCGTCCCGATATTGTAGTACCCCATGTCCATCAAACGAAACCCCAACGTCACCGAAGAATACTCGCGATCAGTGATGATGATTCGCTTCTTGGATCGATCCACCCGACGCTGTTCCCACAAGGCTTTCAGGTTTCGAACCACAGCAGCTGGTCCACTTCTGGTGTCAACAAATTGACTGTTTTGTTTCTTACCGCAATAAACCTCGAACCTGAGCATGAATCCACAGCGTTCAGATACCGACTATATAAAATAGCGCAAATGAGCATACCTGGAGCAGTAGTGGGTTTTCCCGCAACACACAGCGAACCGCTTGGTGCCGTACTTGTGCGGCTTATTCTTCAGGAAAACTCGTATTTTGTTCCGCGAACTTCTTGAAGGGATAACCATCTCGTCGAATGCAACCCAGCGCCCTAGTTCCATTCCACCCTTGAAAGTAGTCTGTAACTTGTTTATCACGTTGCGAATCTTCCATGCCCGGTCCGTCTTAGCCTGCGGAGCCTGGTTGTTCGTAAAGTGGAGAAATCTGGCGAAGGACGTGTTAGTGAGCCCTTTATTAAAATAACGAGGAAGTCACAGTACCTGTTAATCTCCTTGAAACGCTTGCGAACCATAAATGGCGACCAAGTTCCAGCTGGGATCGCTCCACGGGCTCGCGTCTTCCAATGATCTTCCAGTCGAGACTTTATCGGGCAAATAGCCCTGGATATTACTAGGGCCAGAAAATGCATGATCTCCGCGGCAAGTACGTCTTTGAACGCGTCCAGCTCCTTTTCTATGCTGAAACATTTTCTTGCGTTTGTGGATGTCGTCCATCTTGTTTTCAATGGACAACTTCGCCTGTCGAAGTCTTTCCGGTCGTGTCTGACGCTCGTAACGATTAGTTTCCTCGGCAATCTCCGTCCAGAGAGTCTTCGGCATGTAGTAAAAAAAAGATCAGAAGGTTTCAGCGTTTTCGCTGCCTCTATAGCCGAGGCAGTAAGTTGAGGAGGCTCCGTAAACACATCCGTAGCGCCGGACAGGTCCGAGTCATCCCGTTCGTCGGTTACCGGTAGCAACTCGCAACCATTGTCAGACATGCCTCGAAGCATTTCATCTGTTATGTAGTCCTGGGGGCCGGCAACCGCGCGAATTGCTTCTGCTGTTTCGACACTAAAACTTTCGTTTCCGGTATCACCCGCAATATATAGCTCATCTGCAAACTCATCTTCAGAATCGTCGTCGGCACTCGCGCCAGAACAGCCATCCGGTTCCAGCACCTCGTGATCGTCATCAATACCCACGTTCACTTCATCAGCAAGCATGTCCGCACGTCTTTTCGATTTCTTCCCAGATACTCGACTCCCGGGAGACGAAAGAGTACGTCGATTTTGCGAGGGTGTTGCGGTTGTTTCTGCTGTCTGCCGGGGCGATTTTCTTTTTCTGGGAGCCTTGCCTGACCCTCTGGAATCTGCTCGCGGTACTGGCGTAGCATCCGCATCCGCATTGTTTGAGATCCCGTCACCCCAAGGCTCAACACCACCTGCATTTGAGATCGCCTCTTCCTCGGTAGTCTCGGGAAAGTAATCCGGGTAATCGTACTCGTAGTCATTTTCGGTTCGATCATCGGTTTGCCGGCTCTCGGTAGCCAAATTGTCAGCATCATTGGTTACTCCCACTCCATTATTTTCTGGAATCGATGCTCTGCTTGCTTGGCGAGCTGTAGATCCACCGCTGGGTTTTCTGGTTTTCATCGGTATCTTTCCTAGCTGGAGCTGAATTTTCGAGCATAGCTTGACGTGCTGCTTTCTGGCGACGCCTAAACTTCTCCAATTTGTCAGGGCAGTTCAGATTGGAGGCAGGCTCCCAGCTCGTTTGGGAATATCCCTTCCATTTCACCTCAAAGTAAGACAAGCCAAAACGAAAAGTTTCACGAAGAATTTTTCCCACTTCGTACACTTCCTCCAAACCTGGGCACCATTATTACCGTTAGTACATTTTTCCCAAAACCAACATAAGAGCATGTGACAAACACGTGCTGCTTGTTACCTTCAGAACCCTCTTGGTGTTTTGCAAGGATTTTAGCCGTCACGTGGCTACCTCAGTCAGGCAAGTCCGCTTTTCGGGTTGCTTTTTTCTTCAACGCGCGTGCCTCTTGAAGTTGTGCTGCCTTGAACTTGTTGAGGAGCTCAGGACAATACAGATTCGATTCGGGCTCCCACGACGTCTCGTCGTAACCTTCCATTTCACATGGTACAGTCAAACCTGTTTATATGAGGCCCTGCTGGTGACCATCTACTACAATGACTCATATAAAATGGACTCAGTCAAAAAAATTATGTGGTGCACGTAAAGAAATCGTGCATAGTTCGCTGCCGCTTTGCCTTCACCGTAGTCTCTCGAACCAAAGCGGTCACGGTCTGTAAGGCTCTTCGTTCTCTGTCAGTCTGCTCTCCGCATTGCAGCAGAAATGCAGCCAGCTCCATGCAGTGTCTCAGAGCAATGGCAGGTTGAACTGCAGGTTCCTGCTCCTCCTCTTCCTCCTAAGCGCTCCGCCAGCTCATGCGCCTTCAGCAGGAGCACGTCGTCCGCCATCGCCGTTTTAGCTTCGTTCTGAAAGAAAAATTCCCTCAGTTCCCGCTCGAATTGAGGGAATTTCACTCGGCGCCGCTTGGTCGCACTCAGGTCGACGTGGCTGAAGTAGGAAGAAGGCAGGTTGCGCAGTCGGGCGAGTGTGGCACGGCTGACCCGGGCCTTGAAAGTTGCGTAGATCCACTCGGCAAGCATGGGGTTGTTCATGCCAGGATTCTGCTTGAGCGTTAGGTGCAATTGGAGCTTTTGTTCTAGCGTCAGACAGGTGCGAGGAGACATGGCGAGCGAAGAAGGCTTGCGGTAGGCGTTGAGTGTTGAGCAGTGGTGCTTTGAAGAGTGTGTGGTGTGAATCAAATAAACAGGTGAGACCTAATTTGGTCCCAAAAAATGTGACTCATATACCTTGTATGCATATAAACAGAGATCATACAAAAACTAAGTGAAATATTTGGTAGCGAGAAAGCCTGCATCAAATAAACGGCATGGCTCAAATAGAGAGGATCATATAAACAGGTTTGACTGTAGCATAGAAATATTTCTAGATTTTGTTTCGTTCACTTTGCACGACGAATTCCATTTATCTACACATGTAATAGCTGTAAAGTTTTAGCTTCAACGTGCCTCGAAGCTGCATTAAACAAGAACATGGCACTGTTAAGTAGACAGAAGACTGACGAAAGGCAATATACTTGCATGTTTGCCGGTTCTCCCGTAGTTCGGTAACGGTATGTATTACTAAGTATTATACTAGCAATACGGCATCCGTCACTCGAATTTTACTATCTTAGCGCTGGAAACAACAAGCAACACGGGGTGTTCACTTCGTAAGCTCTAGCGAGCCTCTTCCAGACAAATGAGCTCGTTTAAATCGACCAATTGTAGGCCAACTGGAGTCCATACAGCTTAAATCTGGCACAGGGCCGGAATGAAGATTTCGAAGGTGCCGGATTAAAGCTAATATGACACACCACGGCACATGCCAGTATTAAGGTGGTCTGATCTAGCTGGATCATGTATCCTGGGAGACCAGCTTGCTGGTTTACCAGCCTCACAAACTTTTATTCGTATCGAAATCGCAATTAGCGAGAGTACAAAACTTCTGAATAGCGAAATACTTCTTTCAAGCTTTTAAAAGTAAACAGGACTGCATTTGAAGCTCGTTTGCCTTTACCTGCATCATTTCTCACTGAACTATCCTATATTACCGGCCAGATGCTGCGGCTTCGAAGCAGGCGCAGTAGATGGCCGTAGTTATCGTCAACTAACCGCGCTTCTTGACTCGAATATTGTGTTATATCAAACCTTGTGCTGGCAAAACCGCTATCCACAGGCATCTTCTGCGCCTACTTCGCAGCCGCAGCATCTGCCTGCCTTCAACTATTAGGACCCTCCATAGAGTTGTGGCTTAACCCCCAACGCGCAGTTGCACAAGCAGTTCGCCAACTACTGTACCGGACACTAAAGTATACAACGGGTTCTATACAAACGCCAATTAGAGGCACACGCGTCCACTTTACTTACTTCGAACGAAGTATAGTTTTCGATTGTGTCACATCGGCATACTGCATCTGAGAATCTTTCTTCTAAACTATCTGTCTGAGAACAACCAATGCAGAATGTTCAGGATAGCACAACTACTAGCAGAAAATGGTCTCCCAGCCAAAGCGCAGCAACCTTTGCACTTGAATGCTGTGCGTAAGTCTCCAAGGCTAGCAGTCGATGGACGGAATACTTGCCGCCGTAATAGCTCACTTGTAGTCGCTTCCAGGCATGAAGCAGCCTCGCTCCATGCGCTCGTAGTGTGTTGACCATCTTGCAACGAAGTAAGTGGAAACGAGTGGCAAAGTCCAACAAAAGTCCACAATCCGAGAAGGATCGGTCCATCAGGAAGGCAATTTACGGTGCAGCACTATTTGAGAATGTTACCTGCTCAAACAGTGACTAAAGAACAGCATCAAAGAAGCGGTTTGCCGATAATGGTCAAACGCGTCGTATTGTGACAGCAGCACACCGAATATGTGGGATCTGTCGCGAGCTCGGTCACAGTACGCGTAGATGGCCAGACCACGGGTCAAGCATATTCAAAGGGTACGTTTGTGCGAAGGTGAACAGCATTTATCTAGTTACTGTATTAACCGGGTATTGCCAGCATTCGGCGAAAGCCCCGTAGTGTATGCCGTACATATTTCGCTTTTAGGGGCATTTGACTTTAACATGTGTCGCTCGACTACCGAGGATGTCCTTCAGTTGGTCCACCCTGTGCCTCCATCTGTTTGAAGCTCTCGAAGTGGGCAGCGCCAAGGTGGGACCAAGAAAACCTTGGGGGCGCCAACAGTGGGAAACCGCATGCTCGACGAGTTTGAGCGCGAGCACCATGCTGTTGGTAGATCTCGCTCCCAGTCACCATTGCATTCCTGGTTGTGCGCGTCGCTCTGTGCAGCCAACCCGCGCGGCGGACCCATTGCGTCTCGCACCTACATACACCACAATGACGCCACCGCCCGCACCCAATGTCTCTGTTGGCTGGTGCTTGGTTTGGCAGTCAGTAAGGTGCCTCCTCTCTCCCCGTTTTGACTCTGACTGCAATCGGCGATGAGTTGGCGCCAGCATCGATCAGATGACAACGTGTGTCCCAGCCGCCGGCGCGATAGCCCCGAAAGAAACCCGCCGCTGGACACGAGCTGTCGGCTGGTACAGCATAAGCCTGTCATCTCCACCTCGCCATCAACCAACTCGAACCACCAGCAGAGACTTGCCCACCACCAGCGGAAGTCTCCATTGGCACAATTTGCTCGACGCTGGGGGGCCCTCCTGTCCCCTAGCCCAACTTCGTTTCGCCGCTCTCTGCGCGTTCGTGTCTTGAAGCCCTTGCAGGCGCAGGCAAAGCCCAAGCCCGAGTCCTGGCCGGCAAGCTCTCTGCGTATGGGCTAGCTTCTCGTAGCGTGCTCGCCACCTCGGGGCCTGTACAGTGTACACACATCCGTGCTGTCGCCGATGCAAAGGCATCGCCGCGACGAGACACACCGCCACCTGGACACGTACATGTGCATGTACCCGAAAGCACGCGCCGGCCGAGCCATCTGCGCGGTCGTTATCAGCGCCCGTAACACACCTGTACCTACCTATCGTCTCTCGCCGCTCCCCTCTCTGCAGTCTGGGTCGGCCCACTCTGCAATCCGCAGCCTCGCGCGCAAGTCGACTCGCACCCTTTGTCGATGCTGCCGCCTCCGCAGCACAGTGCGGCCGCCATGCACTGCGCCGTGTGCGGCCACGACGCGGACCCACGCGCGTCCGCCTTCCTCCTCGAGTGCCATTTCTGCGGCCGCTGGCTGCACGGAGCCTGCGTCCAGCTGAGCGAGCAGGACGCGCTGCTCATCTCCAAGTTCGCCTGCCCGGACTGCAGGCAGCAGCAGGGCCACAGCACCGTCAAGTTCGGTACGTCGTCGCCATCACCGCCGGAAGTGTGCCATGCACGCACGCCTTGACACCGCGGGGTGATTTTGTTGCGCTCCATGCCATTAGGTTCCGTTTTCTGACAATATTTTTGCTATTTTTGGACATGGAATCAAATTACAGAACCGCCTAGCGTCCATAATGGTCCATTTGACGCCAGTACAATGTCCTTCTCGCCGTTACCTGTCCACTTGGGTGGGTACGTCGCTGCCTCGACCCCCGTGCAACTCCGACACAAGAAGAGCTCGTCCAGTTTCCGTCGACTGCTGGGTGCAGCCGTGTACGCTCGGTCCGGGGTGCACTTGGTCTCGTCTCAAGACGTGCAGCCGTCGTTCCTGCTCCGCCACGCACTGGAGGAGCCTGTGCTCATTGCAGGCAACAACCACTGCGTCGCAGGACTCAATGAACCTTTCCCGGTGTTCGACGCAGCGTTCGTAGCCAAGTTATTGGCTGAGAACCGAGTGGTGCGAGCATTTGGCGTGGCCTCACAAACCAAGCAGCAGTTGACAGCGCCCGAGTGGCAAGCGCGACTAGCAAGAGGGACCAACAGCAACCAACAAGACGAGGAGGACGCTGCATTGCTGGCCAACGCAGAGTTTCCACTACGACAGGTATCCATGCAAGTGCAGGTTGCACCGCCAGTGGCAGTAGCGCAAGTGGACTGGAGTCGCATGGGGCCGAATAGCACCGACGGGAACTCGACCTCCAATGCACCGAACAGCAACGTGTTTGGAGCGTTCTTGGAGGCCAACGCTTACTTGGACTTTACACTAGCTCCGGGAGGACAGTGCACGTGGCTGTCGGTGTCGGCAGGAGAGCTGTGGGTGTATCTGATCCCTCCAACTTCCACTAACATGGACGCGTATCGAGACTGGAAGAATGGCCCGGATTTAGCGGCTGCGTTTTTGCCGGAACGAGCGGATAAGTGCATCAAGTGTGTGGTGGGTGCAGGGAGTACGATACTGGTACCGGCAGGTTGGATGTTCGCGCGGTTTGCCGGCGGTGTGCAGAGCTGCTCGATGTTCTACGGCTACTTCGCCTGCACGGCTGGAATGGACGCACAACTCGTTGTGGTGATGCTTGAGATGCAGCACGATGCACTTGCGCAGTATTGGAGCGAAACCACGTCTGGGTGGATGAATGTGGACGCTAATTTGCAGCTTTGGACGGCTGTGTGTCACTACGTGCGTCAGTTGCTCATGTCCAATAGCGATATGAACGTTCGAGTGAGCGACCAGGATCGACGCGCGTTAATTCGAGCATTGCCTCGACTACGAGAGTGGAGCACGTTGCCGGCCTCACTCAAGTCCGTAAACGGCATTGCGTGGACTCCGAGCTCACTGCAAGAGGCTCAGAGTATTGTGAACCGTCTGGAACAAGCGCTTGCTTCGAGTTGCCTGCCCACCCACCGGCTTGACGCCTTGCAGCCGACTACAAGTGACAGCAAGTTGCCTCCAATTTCGCCGCATGAAGCGACCTACATCTACTCCGCCGCCTCAGCACCAGACCCCGTGAGTGGGTCTCCTTGGGGGGCGTCCAGCTCCGGTTTCGATACAAACAGCACCACCAGCTTCGCCACATCGACGCCGATGGGGTCCATGTGGCCAAACTACGACCCCATTCAGCACCAGCAGCAGGATCACTTGGTCATATCGACGCAGAATCAACCGTACCCAGGTCTTCAGCATCAATCGCCGACACAGGGATACGATGGCGCGGGCTACGGGTACATGTCACCACCCGGCACGGCTTTGGGGGGACACGGAGGATACATGGCAGCTCAGCAGGGCATTGGCCTCGAGGGTTTAGCTGGTGTCTCGGCGTTGGTTGCTCCAGGTATGGGATTCCAACAGCCCGAAGTTGACAGCAACGGGAATGTCGTGGATACGCTGATGCGCCATCGAGCTTCGTGCCACCGCTGTGGCAACCTGCGCAAGAAAAACATTCGCTGCCCCTTGTGCCCCCACATTTTCTGCGCCAAGTGCGCTGACAAGATGATTGAAGAGCATGGCGACCGCATCTTCGAGAACGGGTGCCCCGTGTGCAAGGAGCTGTGCTGCTGCGGCAAGAACCGAACGACGCACTGCACGCGCAAGTTCCACTGCTACAAGAAGTGTCCGTCGACCAAGCGACCTGCGGCCGGCTAACTTCAACATACAGATAGTGTTCGGATGCATGCGTGTTGGTATTTATTCGTCTAATGAAGCTCCCACATCGTCGTCTATTGCGCTCGTCCACTACGCTTGACGTGCGGTCGCAATGCTGCGAGCGAGATCAAAAGGGCCTCCTCTGAACGGATCGTGCGACTGCCCTGCTCGGGACAAGTGTTGACCCACATGTCGAAGAGCGTGTTGGAGTCCTCGCCGCTCACAGGCACCTTCTCGTCCGCGTCCACGCACTCCTCGATACCTGCCACGCCGCCAAAGACAATGAGGGCGTGGCGGAACTTCGGCAGCGAGAAGCTGGGGTCGTCCACCGACACGTTGCCGCGCTCGGACGTGCCCACCTTGAGGTCGTAGCCGCCCGGGAACGGACAGTCGCTCCAGACGTTGCTCAGCGACGGCGCGAAGCGGGTCGTGTAGCCCCAGTACACACCAAGGTGCTCGCGCGGCTCAGCAGACGACACGAGCTTGCCCACCACTGCGTTTTCAGCACAATAAAATAAAATCGTTCGTTAGTCTCCAACTCCACATCCCATCCAGCCTCCAACTGAAGTGCACACTTACTCTTCTTCTTGAAGTCCTTGGACGCTTCGTCGATCTTGACCGTGACGCGGATTCCAGGCGTGATGCGCTTGTCCACCACAACTTCGCGCTGCAGTCCGACGTACACATGGGAGCCCTCCTTGTCCTTGAGCGGGCGGTCCGTGACCACGCCTTCGCGATACACGCTCCACTCCTGCGCGCGCAGGTGGTGCGGGCAGTCCAGCGGGTTGAGCAGACCGGCGCAGCTCAGGTCCGAGTGCATGGGGAACAGCGCGCGGCGCAGGTACTGCGGCGTCTCGAGGTACTGCAGGATGCGCGCCATGAAGACGTGGCAGTCGTGCGCGCGCTTCTTGGGCGCGCCCGTGCTCACGCTGTTGCCCAGCTGGTCGTCGAACACGACGATCTCGTCCACCTGGAAGATCACGGCGGCGCGCGCCACCTGGCCGGCCAGGTACGTGCGCAGCTCCTTGGTCTGCGCGTTGTCCAGGATGGAGCCGGGGATGGCCATGCTCAGCGTGTAGGCGCGCCCCTTGGCCGCGCGCTCGCTGGCCAGCTGCTGCTCCTGCTGCTTCTTCTTGGCGGCCTCGCGCGCGAGCTTCTCCTCGGCCTTGCGCTTCTTGCGGGCCTCGCGCTTGAGCCGCTGCGCCTCCTCCGGGTCCAACGCGGGCTCCTCGTCCTCGGCGGGGCGCTTCTTGCCGGCGGCGGCATCGCTGGGTGCTGGGGCCTCGGGCGTCTTGGCCTTCTTCACCTTCACCTTGCGCACGGGCTTGACGGCGGCGGCCGCGGCCTGGTGCAGCGTGGCCAGCTCCTCGTCGCTCGACTCGCTGCTGATCATGACGCTTGGGCCAATGTATCACTGGTCAGGAAGGACAAGAACCTAAACTAACGAATTATGTGGCGCCTAATCTTATTCAAATTGGGTTCCCTAGCTGCTCGACCGCTTAGATTGGGCTTGACGTTCTCAGACGGTAATCTGCCCGGCGCGACGATGGGGAACACAGCCACCAAGGCGCGCGAGGCCCACGCGCAGGCCAAGAGCAAGCCCAAGACCGGCCGCAGCGTGCAGCAGCAGAAGCTCAAGTCGGCCAAGGCCACGGGCGTGCTGGCGCTGCCCAACAGCAAGCTGAAAAAACTGCCCGAAGAGCTACTGGAGCTGTCGGCGCTGCGCACGCTCGACCTCACGGCCAACAGACTGAGCGAGCTGCCGCCGCAACTGAACGCGCTCAAGTCGCTCAAGACGTTGAAGGTTCCGTCCAATGCCTTGACCACGTTGCCGGACTTGTCGGGGCTCGAGGCGCTCACCACGGTACGCGAAGCTCTCCATTGACCAAATAAGGGTCCTCTGCTGAACGATTTTCGATCGATTAATTAATTAATATTGTAATAATACGTATGTGAACTGTAAAATTGAAGTTGGTGCTGGACGGCAACGTCCTGGAGGACATCCCCAATGCGCTACCCCCGAACCTGACCAAGCTGTCGCTGAAGGGCAACAAGCTGCGCGCGGTGCCTCGTAGCGTCCTGGAGCTCGCGCAGCTGCAGGAGCTGGATCTGTCGGACAACGCGCTGGAGACTCTGCCGTCCAATTTGGGCGAGCTGCAGGAGCTTCAGGAGCTCAACGTGGACGGCAACAAGCTGACGGAGCTGCCAGCTGCTCTAGCAAGATGTGCCAAGCTCAAGGTGCTGTCGGCACGACGAAACACTTTGGTCGGACGGTCGGCGGGTGCCAAGGTGCAGTGCATCGCTGCTGAGCTGCTGGGAGAAGGCTCGGCTGTGCAGGTGATGAATCTGGAGGGCAACCCCATGACCAAGGAGGACCTGCAGCAGATGGACGGCTTCGACGCGTTCCTCACTCGACGCACGAAGCTCAAGAACAAGGAGATCCACGGCGGGTTGAACTCGGACTTGAGTCTCTGCGGGCTCGAGTAGGCGTGCAGGTGGTGGTGCAAATAATGTGCAATGTGTTGTGTACCTTGATTTGTAGTTCTTGACTGTGTACATTCGTCATTCTTCTGGCTGGGTGAGGGATGCGGGAGAACTGTAGTTGTTGATTCGGGCGGAAACGTGGCGAGAGAGCGCAATTGGTGACTTGGGTGGGGGAGTAAAGTGGGGCTTCCTGACGTTTGTAGCTGTCTTGGCCTGCGATTCAGTTGATAGAGCAGCGAGTGCAGCCTCCAAGTCCACTTCAGCAGTTCTCCACTCTTCTTCCAAGGCAGACGTGATGGAGTCGTCCTCGTTGTTCTCTTCTGCACTTCCAGGAGCGGTCTGTGTCGACAACCCACGCACGATCTCTGCGAGGTTTTGCGATACGAGGTCCACGAGCGCTGGGTCGATGTCTGAGGAGGCCTGAAAGCAGATATTCCCCACGCTGGTGTCTTGGTGGGCTGCGATGTCGTTCAAGTAGGCGTTCTGCTCAGCGTCTCGAGCCTCCTTTTCGTGTTTAAGCTGCAGATCACGTCGATGAAGCTTCGCGTAAGCAATTGACAAGTTCCGATGAGCACGCGCTCGACCCAAGCGGCAGTCCAGCACCTTAGACGAGCACAAGTGGAGATCCCGATGGTGGCAGCTCAGTGCGTGGCCAAAATTCTCCTGCGCAAGTGCCAAATTGCCCAGGTTGGCGTAGACTCGTGCTTCAAGCTCGCGATCCTTCTCTTTCAGCGCAATTTGCAGCGCCTCTTGCTGGTGAGTTAGAGCTGGGGCGTAAGCGTGTGCGTCCAAGAGCAGCAAACCCATGGTTTTTGCGGCTCGTGCCTGCAGTCGAGGGTCCTGAGCTCTCTGAGCTAGCTCAAGAGCACGGCGCTGGGCTTCGAAGGCGTGTTTGGTGCATGCTACCGCAGCTTTGCTGGTCTTCGAAGATGCGGCAACTACAAGTTCGCGAAGTGCCACACCTCGGTGATGATGAAGCAGCGTTTTCAACGCCAAATTTGCAGGTGACTCGGACTTGGTGGGAAGATCAAGGTCTTGAGAGGGTTCTACAGCTTTCAGTGCTCTGGTGAAGTTCTGGATGGCCGCCACGAAGGCAGGCGGGTTCCCGTACAGCAAGAATGATGCCATAGCAATATGCCGCGCTAAAATGCGAAGCTTCGCCGCGGCGGCGGCACTTGCGGCCCGCGCGGCTGCTTCCAACTCCGTCAAGAAGAAGTTTGTGTCGTCATCTTCGTCGTCGGGGCCGTCGTCGAGATCCACTCCAGGTAGAACCGCTTCAATTACATCAACGACACCGGCTTGGCGGCTGGGTGGACGTCGGGTTAACCCTGCAGAAGTGCTGTGACTGTGGAGAGCACCGGCAGAACGACTACCTCCCAACGATGCTGCAGCCCGAGCTGTCACTGAAGTGCCGTCCAGGGCCTGTTGTCCACGCAGTGTCGTAGGTGCGGTTGAAATGCGAGCTAAAGGACGAGCGGAGCCTTGTCGGTGTAGTTCTCGCCTCGCATATCGCGTTCGAGGGGGAGCATTCATCACAAGATCCTCGAGAGATTGGCCGTCGTCTGACTTGGTTAATCTCGCTGTCGTGGCTTCCAGCAACGAGCGTGCACTTCCGGTCAAGGCTGTCGGGAAGGGCAAAGGCCGAAGTCGCGGAGATACCCCAGTGTTATCAGTCGAAGTTCCATCGTCCCAAGCTGGTGAGGAAGTGCAGAGCTCCCCACGAAGAGCAACCTGTCGAGATGGAGGTCGCAGCGTCGTTCCGGGGCCTGCTAAGTCTTCGTCGTTGTTGAGCAGAGGCGCTCCTTCCTGTTGGTTGGAGCTTCGAGTGGCCGAAATGGGGGGAATCGCTCGCTTGCTGCCTCGTGGAAGCTCTGTCGAAGACGCGTCACTTTCGAGTCGCGGTTGTAGCTGTAAGAGTCCATTTCGTGATGTCGGTCGAGGTAAATTCCCGTATCCGTCTCGCCTGGTGGTTCCTCCAGACCCCTCTCGCCGCTTGCGGGTCACTGACATAGTGTTGTTCTCCTGGACGTGATGTTTATGCTGCTCGGCGTAGAAATTCGGATACATCGTTTGGACATCCATGCGTGGCGGTCTCCTTCCGCCGGTAGCCATGGCCACGAGGTTGTCTTGCGCCGCACAAGAATTGGCAAGGAGAGTCTGGCGGTGTGAGGATGATCAGCCCTGTTGTGGCTGATGTGCAGAAGTGACAACACTCCAATTATAGTTGGAGTTGACAGAGCTGTAACATTCGCACGAGTGCTAACGAGCTCTCACGTTCGTGGTCGCACAGCAGCTCTTGGATAGCACGGCCGATACTTCGTAGCTGGTTTAAATAAGTGCTCCAGACCACCTAGCCGTCTCAAGACCGATCTACATCCTCAATGACGACACCTTTGTACTGTGCACGAAGGCGAAAAAAAAGTATGTGAACCTCGATCAAGTACATGCAGCTACCTCCGTATTGGGGACTAATAGGATCCTTGGCACCCCACCCCATTCAAAAACGTTGATCATGACTGCTGTATGGACAATTTGTAACTATCGAGCTCGATATTATACAGAACCGTGCCCTCGACATGATTTAATAAAACGAAGCCCAGAACTAAAACGCCAGTCATGGAATCCTCAGCGTCGTCAGTTATCTGCGCCCGCGGCAACAACCTCAATGACGACATTCACGCTGAAGAACTATCAGCTCTAGCGGACGCGTGGACCATGATACTCGTCAAATGCCAGCGCTCTCGTCGTCAAACTCGTGTCGGCGTCTCCAGCAGCAGATTCTGGAGCATCGTTCATGCGGAATACGCCAAGAATCCTGCCACAAACGGACACATCAATACGCCTGCAAGGGCAATGAAGCACGATTATCCCGATTGTGGCTGTACTTCTAGAGAAGTTCGTTAAAGTGTGGGAGAACCTGCGGCCGCAGTCTAACCGACGGTATCTGCCGTCGTCAATCTTCTTGAGAGCGCCAAAGCTGAATATGCTGGATACAACATGGACTCCCAGTGCTGTGATGTCGCGGAGCGACTCGTGAACTACCGGGAGTGGTGGAACATCTTGTAGCCTCAGATCAAGCAACTTGTAGCAGCGTCACCAGTTCCTGGACAGCAGCAGCCAACTCAGCCAAGCGAGGCAGAATTCCACTTTAAGCCACCGAAACTGGTCGAGAGCTCATTGCTGAGAAGTGAAGCTGGCGAAGGTGAATTATCGGGTCGGCGGGTAAAATGGAGGTTGAACTCCGAGAGCCCCCACACCATGCAACATTGTTCATGGATGATACGCTACAACCTTTGGAAGATTCACCACCACACACTGGGAAGCACTGTCCATCTTGCCTCTGTCGTGCTGACATGAAGAAGGCAATTGTGATGGAGCGCCAGTGGGAACTAGAAATCATGACAGCGTCGACAAAATTCTGATGAAGGTGCTGGAGTAGCAGAGCGAAATGTCATAGGTCAAGTTGCGTCTTGGATAATTGATGGACGTTGTCTTCCTCAACTGTTAATGCCGAGGTTAGTGATCGATGAATGCATGAATGCATTGAGTCTCGTAGCTAGGCAGCGCACTCGGAATCTGACTTGGTATGTAGTACTTACACTAATATAGTCGCAATTTGAAGTGAGAGGAATATCGGCACAGCATATGCCCGATATGGCAGGTCTCTCCTTCCTGAAAGCACATTTATGTTGTAGAACTCTCAACCACTAAAGAGTTTGAATAACCCACATCCAGCAACCTTTCAACCAACATCCGTGGCACCTTAACTCCTCGTTTTGGAATTTTCTCTCCGCTGCAGCTACACCGGAGGTTTGGAACACTTTCGCGATGTAGGCTTCAGAACCTGTTTTAAAATGGCCGTCTCCCTGGGCTCATGGCGTCACATGGAGTATCTTCATATTCCCTCGAAGTGTCACTGGCTTGCCGTGCACCACTCGAAGCTTTGTCCACTGTGCTGCTACAGTCTCAACATTTGCATATCCTTGAAACGTGCACTCTGTTTCACACTTCACCATTGTAAAAAAGGAATAGGAAAATAAAGTGTTCATGCAAAAAAATTAAACAATTCTTCGCTGTTGCGCTTGAAACAGCAGCATCGTTTCGATACTCGCTGCTCTTTGGGTCGTTGTGCTGCTAATACGTGACGGGTGAACGGTCTACGATGGAACAGATACTCACCAGGGCCACATGTACATGAATTCCTGCCTGCTCAACACTTGCCTCGTGTCTGCGCGTGGCCAACCATCGTCAATACAAACGTCACCAACTTCGTCAACCCTTCGTCCTCATACATATCGGCGGACAACTACGCCGGGACAGGTGGTGCGTCTGAATATCGATCCCTCAGTGACTGAAGAAAGTAAACTGGTGGCTAACATCTACAGGACAAAAAATTCACATGTCAGGAATTGTTTGGGCTCCTCAACTTCGTGCAGATATTGGATCTCAGCAATAATATTCCAGTCGAATGCAGGAAGTATTTCAATTGAATACCTCGTCGGTGGCTTTACACAGTACGTACAAACGTTGCAAACAGACTACCAGTTTCCGCCATCAGATCAACGCAAACTTGTTCTCCATGCCCTACTCTTCACATTCGCTGCTGACTCAGCAATCGCGCTTTCTCCAGAATCAGTTGGCGTTGGAGGCGAAGGTACTCCACTGCTTCAGTGGACAGACCCTCCTCGCTCTGCGTCATGATATCGAAATCGAGGCGGCGCTCCATCAACTCCAACTTTCGCACGTCCATCTCGTCCTGCCTGCTTTGATCCGTCAAAGAGTTTTCATCTTCTCTGCGCACATTTGGAGTTTGCTTCGACGTCGGCGAATGACGACCCAGTCGCCGCCTCACTCGTCGAGCGGGAGTAGTGGCATTACCGTGACCGTTTTCACTTTCTGAACGAGATGCCTCCTGTTCATTCACCTGCCGTTGGGCACGTATCCCACGGCTCGTTCCATTTTCGTGCATGAACAGAGGCCTCAGCACGCTCCACCACTGGCCATGGCGGGCCAGGAGTTTCGCCACTTCCAGGTACTCGAATGTCCTCCCTGATGTGGCCTCAAGTGACGTCTTCGTCCATTCAAACGCCCGCGTGCAGCATTTGCCGTCGTTTTGGCACGAGAGGCGGAAGATCCTCCAGTTTTCGCTGAACTTGGCCAAGAAGCCGCTCAGACTCGGGTACATGGTCTCCCATTGAGCCTCCAGCTCTGCTGCTGACTCGGTACTCTCACGTGCACTGGTTGCTGCGTAGTCCGTATGGACCTTCCCCCAGAACTCCCGACCGCTGACAGCATTTGGGTCGAGTGTTTGTTGCAGTTCCGTCGCTTGAAGGTCTTGCGCCAAACTTTGGCGGCCAAAGCGACGATGATCCACGCGCGAGTGAGACGCAGCAAAGGATCTTCTTCGTAGGAGGTTGATGGCGAAACGTAGTGATCCACTGTGTTAGAAGCTGTGTCAATTGAATGGGCAGGTGCTGGTACAGCTCCTGTCATTTGCGTAGGAGGCAGTGGGCTGAAGAAGAAAGACCCGTGCGATGCCTCCAGCTCCTGACGCCAGGCACCAACCTCGTCCTTGATCGACATGGGCTCGGACGGCCCTTCGTTGTCGTAGCGGTTGGAGTAATGGCCTCAGTTCCCACAAAAAAATATTCGGATACCTTAACAGAGGAAAATGCTGCATGAACTACTACTTGAAAAAAATCTCTATACAACGATGGCGTACGTCAGTAGGCACTAAGACGTGTACTATGTGCTGCTCAAATGGGGCTTCACTGATGGAGTATTCACTCGAAAAGCACCGAAGCAACGCGTAAGTTCCTTGGCATTAAAAGCACCAGTGTTGTAATTGTTGCAAGTAACTACTGTACAGTACTTATGGAGCTACACATGGAATCGACGTCCCTGTGTTTCGTTTGTCCAAACATTAGCCACACTCTTGACGAAATCGCGATCATAACCAGCATCGCTCACGTGCGGGTATTTGACTGAACAGGTGACGAGGAACGGAAGATAAGCAAGATTTACCGCCCAGGGGCTCCTCACGTCCATGTAATGCTTGAGCTACATTCATGCGCGAGTTGTGGGAGTAGAGAACGTTGTTCGCTCTTCGAGAGCCTATGTTTGCCGCTCTTGATAGCGTGTTTTCAATTGATGAATTTTCAATTAATGAAATGTGCTTAATGATCATTTCCAGCGCTGCCGCCCGGCCTCCTTGGGGCAATTTTGGGTCTACCACTTTTGCTGTATCCAGGCTCTGCATTCGTGGTCACCTCCCCGCATCGCCAATGCCCGATTCCAATACTTCGTGTCTGAGGCTGTAACCGCGCTCAAGAAATCCTCCTCTAGCCCAGGACACGTTTCGTACCAGCACGGTGGACATCTTGTAGCTGGTCGCAATCTCGACCTTGCCAGATGACAGAGTTCCGGTAGCACAGATAGTCACCACGCACAGCATTGAACACCCCAAGTGAACGCAATATTTGTCATCTATTCCATGCACTCGTTTGATCCACCTACTTGTCCGCGCGTTGACGCTTGGACGGGTCACTGATCTCCATGGAGCGCTTGCGCATCTTGGACTTCTCGTTCAGAGGCGCCAAGTCGTGCTGCACCGACAGGTTCTTAGCCAGCAGGAAGGCCACCTCCATACTCTGCGAGTAGTTCAGACGCGGGTCGCAGTAGCTCGTGTAGCGCAGCGGCAGGTCTCCCTCGTCAATGCCCTGCGGTCCACCAATGCACTCGGTGACGTTCTCACCCGTCAGCTCAAAGTGGACACCACCCAGAGATGTCCCAGCCTCACGGTGGATCTCCAGGGTCTGCTCCAACTCGCCGAAAATGCGGTCGAATGGCCGCGTCTTGTATCCGTTCTCGGCCACGATCGTGTTGCCGTGGCACGGGTCGCACGACCAGATGACCTTGAGGCCAGCCGCCTTCACGGCCGCAATGTGCTTGGGCAGCAGGTCGGCCACCTTGTCGCTGCCGTAGCGCGTGATGAGCGTGATCTTGCCCGGGTTGGCCTCGGGGTCCTTCCAGAGCTTGCGGATCAGCGGCACCAGGTCCTCCACGGCCATGCTCGGGCCCACCTTAATACCGATGGGGTTCTCAATGCCACGGAAGTACTCGATGTGCGCGTGGTCTAGCTGACGCGTGCGGTCACCGATCCACAGGAAGTCCGTGCCCACGTTGTAGTACTTGCCGTCCACCTTGCGCGTCATGGTCTCCTCGTAGCCGAGCTCCAGTCCTTCGTGCGACACAAACAGGTCCACCGTCTTCAGGTGCGGCGAGTCCGCTCCCACACCGCACATGTGGACGAAGTGCAGACTGTCCGTGATCTCGTTCACCATGTGCTGGTACTCCTCTCGGCGCGACGAGGTCTGCACGAAGTCCAGGTCCCACTTGCCGGCGTCGTGGATGTCCGCGAAGCCCGAGCTCACCAGCACGCGCCCGTAGTTGAGCGTCGCGGCGCTGTGGAAGTATCCCTCCAGAAGGCGGTTCGGGTCCGGAGTGCGCTGGTCCTTCTCGTATCCATTAATATTCTCACCCCTGAAGCTCGTGACCTTCTCGCCGTCCAGCATCTCCGTGTCGCTGGAGCGCGGCTTGGCAAACTGGCCGGCCATGCGAGCCACGCGCACTGTGGGCATGCGCGCGCCCCAGACCAGCACCAGACTCATCTGGATCATGATCTTGAGCTTCTTCTCGATCAGCTCCGGCTGGCAGTCCTGGAACCGCTCGGCGCAGTCGCCGCCCTGCAGCAGGAAGCGCTTGCCCGCCGCCACATCGGCCAGCTGCGTCTTCAGGGCCTCGATCTCGCGCACCGACACCAGACCCGGCAGCGTCCTCACTGCAGCCATTGCAACATGTTAGAGGTCATTGACACACGGCGCGTGATGACCCACTATGGCTGTTCTTACACTTGTCGTGGGCTTGCTTGAGCGCCTGTTCATCCGGGTAGGGGGCCTGCTGCTTGGCGGGGAATTGGCGCCACGACGACGGGGTCCACTCGGCTGCCATGGCTGCGCAATGTGTGATACTTACTCTGTACTGATACCGGCGGTGAAGTGACGCTTGGCGACGAATGAGTCTGAGTGGTGTGCGCCACAAGAAAGTTTTGCGCGTCAACATGTTGATGCGCAGCCGGCATACTGAGCGCAAGTGAGTCATCCGTTGAGATTGATTGACACGCGAAGAGCTCACCTCCAGTGGGCATGGGCAAGCACCGAGGTCGCGCAGGCGGCGGCCGCCCCGCTGCACCGAGAGGAGACGCGCTGGTGGTCGTGAACCCGTCTATGCTGCAGTCCAGCGCGCGCGCGGGCTCGAAGCCGCAGCAGAGCGGCAAGAAGAAGGCGCAGAACCAGCCCAAGAAGCGCAAGGCCGACGGCAATGGCTCCAATGGCTCTAACAAGGCGCAGAAGAAGCGCAAGAAGCAGCAGGAGGGCAAGACGATCGTCAGCAATGTGGCAGTGTCCAGTGCCGCCAAGTTGACGGTCGAGGAGGGCGGCGGCGCGTCCTGCTCCGTGCTCAGGGTGAAGAGGGACGGCGATCTGTTGGCGGGGCTCTACTGGGTGCTGCAGTCGCGCAACTCGCCGCGCGCGTGCGTAGTTGCGCTCCCCAGTCAGTTTGAGACCTTGCCCCCTCAATTGGCCGCGATGCTGAAGCATCTGGGGTTCCAAGCGGTGGCGCTGCACCGTAAGATGACGGCGGGGCAGCGGAACGAAACGGTGCAGAGACTCAAGAGCTCGACGGCGACGACGCCACTGCATGCAATGGTGCTGGTGACGACGGACCATTTGCTGGCGAGTGCTGCATATGCGAAGGCGGATGTGACGCTGGTTGGCGGAGTGAGTGCGGCGGCTGCTGATGTGGCGTCGGCGAAGTTCGCTCATGTGCACCAGGTGACGGCAGCGGCGGCGGGAATGGGAGTGGAGCTGCTGAACTCGAGTGCGTTCAAGCCAGAGATGACTACGCCGTGCTTGCAGCAGTTGCAAGCGCGGTTGAAGCTTGCGGGGCAGATCGTGGACATTGCGCAGCGTGTTGGCAAGACTGGAGCTGCTACTCAGGACGGTGATGATAAGTGGGCTCGAAAATTCGCAAAGGGAGCAGATCTGGATGACGACGACGATGAAAGCGGCCAAAAGAAGAAAAAGAAGCGCGCGATGACTCCGAATGAGCAGAGACTGCAAGCACTGACGGAGAAGCTTTACGTGAGCCTTACGCGCAAGCTGTCAGGCCTCAAGTCGTCTAACAGCAATGCAGCTGCGAGCAGCGAGCAGGAAACTGATAGCCAGCATCGCCGCGAGAAGCTCGAAGTGTTGGGTCTCGTCACCGTTAACGCTGCTGTTGGTACCGCCATGACAGACGAACGCACGTCAGCGCAGACGAGATGGATGGACTTTGCGGAAGGCAGAGCACACGGGGGTCAGTGGGAAGGAGCAGTTCGTCATGGCGCTTCGAAGGACGCGACATCTCTAGCTGTTCGTGAAAAGCTCTGTGCGGCACGAGGCAGAGCCAAGGATGACACCTTTTTGAGCAAGTGGGCCCCGAACAAGGAGCCTGTCGACGCTGACAAATGGGGTGGTGCGTTCGGAAAGGTGTGCGGCCACAACGAGGTGGTGATGAACACGCTGAGGTCGTTTTATCCGCAGGAGGTGCTGAACTCCAAGGTCTGCAGCAAGCTTTTCCCAGCACCCGGTAACCAGGGATTCGATGGCTGTCTGGAGCATTTACGCCTGGCTTGCATGGCTCAAGGCAAGAGCATGACGCTGTGGGACGCGGAGTACTTCGTCTTCATTTCGTCCCGCGGACGCGTCACCTGGTCCAAGAAGAGCCAACTGCTGTCGCTGTCGCTGGCGAGCTTGCAGTGTCTTGTTCCGGCGCTGCGTAGCTGGACCACCGCATGTGAGGGCCACATGCCGCCCAGCGCAGTTCTTCGTGCGATCCAGCTTTGCTGCCAGCTCGGCAGCGGTGACAAGCGCTCGAGCGATGATAACTTGCCCCCAAAGGCGTTGAAGCGCATCGTGACCTTCGCGTTTGGCGGGTCTGCTCGCCTCTGGCGTCAAATTGCAAAGGTGCAGACGCCGCTAGAAGAGGAAACCGTGTACGACGCCCAGTAGATACGTACTGTAGCTGCAGCGACATAAACAAACAAGAGCAGGCGAGAGAGCGGCTTATTTACTTACTTGTGCTGGCCAACTCGCACGGTTGAATGCATGGATGGATGGGTGTCTATAATCGTTTCCTAACCCCGGCGCTTTGCGGCTCCAGCTCCGCTGTGCCTTCCCATGCATCTGCGTCCGCGAGCTTCAACTCTGCTGCAGGATCGTTGTTGTCTCCTATAGGTTCCTGTTCGCGCGAGAGCGATACTTTATTCCCTGCTGCGTGGCCATTGCAGTGTCCATTCAGAGCAGCGCCGTTCATATGTGTAGCGTGCTTCTGCAGCACCAGCTTCTCCTGCACGGGGTCGAACACGAGCCAATCGTCCGGCCGCGGGATGGTGCGGTTGGCATGTTGCATCTTGACCTGCACCAGCTTAGCCAGCGCCTCGTTGCAAGCCTCATGATCCACGGGCGGCGGCGGCGGGACGTCATCCAGGTACGCGTCATCGTCGTCCTCCACGACGTGCTGGAGTTCTCTTCCCTCGTCCTCCGACAGCAACTCGGGCACGTCCGGCTCCGAGGACCCAAAGAGCAGACTACACCATGGCAATGCAAACAACAACAGTCAGTGAAATGTACCCCGAAACTCGACCTTCCCAGGTTGAAGTGCGACGTACTAGGTCGGCAGGACCTCGAAGAGCTGGTGGTACAGACAGCGGCCCGAGAGCAGGTCCACGAGCAGCGGCCAGCCGCGGTCCAGCAGCCCCCAGTGTTTGGCGGCGTAGACGACGACGTAGGCTCCGAGCAGATGCAGCGTGGGCACGTGCGCGCGTACGAGCGGCAGCGTCGTGTGGTGCATGACCAGCTCCTCCACGAGCGTCTCGTGGAAGGAGAACTGCGGGTACATCTCGCACACGTCCAGCGCGTTCGAGTAGGCGTCGCCCAGCAGCTTGAGCAGCACGCCGAGACCCGCCACCAGGTACCCGACGGCCCACGCCGAGCGGCGAGCTGCGTCCAGGTACTCCATCGGCTGGCCGCGGGATCCGGGCGCTGGCGGAGATGCAGGCGCAGATGACGTGAAGATGGCAGGGCAACGCACCCTCCAGCTGAACTCGTATGTCGCGGTTGTGGAGCTGTTACTGTGATCACAATAGTGACGTGTTGTTGTAGTGAGGGAAAAAGCACGATAAGAAATCAGGTGGTATCAATTTTCACGGTTATTGTACGATCGAACACAGAAAATAGTACACACGTATCCACATAAATACACAAGAAGCGCACAAGTTAACAATTGCAAGTGCCGAGTTGCTGCTGGGGTGATGAGAACTCTCAGCGAGAAGCAGCAGCTTGCAATAGAAAATGATACTGTAGGAATCCTGTCCAAGGTCAAGTTTTCCAGAAAAGGTATAACGTAAGAAAACGACAAAAGCGTCGCTAGCTTTTTGCGCACGTCGAGCGTCGTCATGGTGATGATTTCTTTGAGGGCTGCAATGCTGCACTCTAAAGCACACAGGGCTTCGGATAATACTACTAAGTGTAAACATAGCAGCATTTGTACATCATTTTGCTCTCTGTAGATGCCTGCCACCCAAACGAAAGAATAGGGCGAGGACGCCGGTGTTTAGCAAAGCTGTAAAATCCTCGAGGTACATGTATCTTTACCCACTCGTCTTGTGTTTTGGTCGCGTTGTGACAGCGCCGTTTCTGCACCACAATCCACCCCATACAAAAGTCGTTTAGTCGAAAAAGCGCTCCATGAAAACGGCGCAGAACCCGTGCTATTTCGGCAGAAACGTGTACCCTCAGAAAAATGTGTCCGCACCAAGCCTCTGGTCGTACATGTCTGGTCGTCCAAATCCATACAGAATCCTGATCACGGTCGCTCTGCACGACAGTCGTTGGTGCGGACAGTTTTTATCCATTGACCAATCATAGAATTTTAAGAGATTTTGGACCAATCCGGACTTGCCGCTTGGAGCTTGGTACGTACATTTTTTCTACGATCGACAAAGGGCGCCTTCCTCCGAGGCAGCCATGCCGGCGCCGGTCTCACATGGCGAGGGACGTAGCGATCATTCCTGGATTTCCCTCGACCCCCTCAAGCGAAACCTAAGCAGACACCATGGCTGACCAGCTGACCGAAGAGCAGATTGCCGAGTTCAAGGAGGCGTTCTCCCTGTTCGACAAGGACGGCGATGGAACCATCACCACCAAGGAGCTCGGCACGGTCATGCGCTCGCTGGGCCAGAACCCCACGGAGGCCGAGCTGCAGGACATGATCAACGAGGTGGACGCTGACGGCAACGGCACGATCGACTTCCCCGAGTTCCTGACCATGATGGCCCGCAAGATGAAGGACACGGACTCCGAGGAGGAGATCCTGGAGGCCTTCAAGGTGTTCGACAAGGACGGCAATGGATTCATCTCGGCCGCCGAGCTGCGCCACATCATGACCAACCTGGGCGAGAAGCTCACGGACGAGGAGGTCGACGAGATGATCCGCGAGGCCGACATCGACGGCGACGGACAGATCAACTACGAGGAGTTCGTCAAGATGATGATGTCCAAGTAAGCGTCGCGTCTGTCTTGAGGATCGGCGGGCGTCCGGCCCTGCCATCCCGTAGCCCCCTTTAAATAATTTAGAAACAGCGATCAACTTTTTTGCTGCTGCTTCTGCCCGCTGTGTTCTCAGTCTTTCTCTCTTCGCTTGCGTAGTTGGAACGTTTGGCATAGCTCGAGGCGTCGGCGTCGGGGGCCGCTTCAACCCTGGCAGGGAGCGCTTCAACGTCAAGGTCAAAGGTGCCTTCGGGCCAGGTGTCGACAGGCGCGTAGAGCCGCAAAGAACTGCGGCGCGGTCATGTGGCTACAGCAAGCAGCGAGAGAGCGAGAGCTTCTCGCAGCGACAGAGAGCGAGGTGCCGAAACGGAAGTGAGACGGAGCGGGACGCGCTGGGCTTGTCTTTCGATGGAGAACGCCGGTCTAGGTGGGAAACGCCAAGGCGTTGCAGGGAGTCCGTGGCGGCCCGGATAGCACAGCATTCATGTGGCGCGCCGGCACGGCGGTGTTCTCGATGACACATCGGCCGGGCACGTGGCGCCCGTGGGGCAAAGCCTATGATACCGGCGACCTTTGGCGTTTGACCGGCTGAAGTTGAAGTGGGCGTGACTGGCCGAGACTCGCCGCCCTCATTTACCCGGCCAAATGCGTCTTACCCCGCCATGCCAAGGACCATGGCATCTTCATCACAGCACTGCTACTGTTGCTGCTGCTGCTGCTGCTGTTGCCTGCTGGAATAGATCCGGCGATCGCAACGATCTCGCGCATTGCGCATTGTGCGCCGTAAGAACAAACGGCGGCCGTCTGTCCGTTCTGCTGGCGCACTGTGCGAGTTGCATCGCTGGCACTGCCAGTGGC